TCCTGACTCCAGAGCTGGTGCTTTATCCACTGCACCATCTAGCTGCCCCTGTACTTGCCATTTCCATATTCTTATATTAGACATATCTTATCTTATATCTACCTAATTTTATATCTAGATTGTAACCTCCTGGGGGTAAAATTCCTTTTTTTGCATGTAGAATGGTCTCATTCATACAAAGCACTTAGTAAATGTTTGTTGAACCAACAGGCAAAAACCCCAACATGTAGAACATTTGACAGGTTAAGGTACTTGGTCTCTCACAGATACAAAATTGTAGCTCTGGGGCTGCAATCCTCAAATGAAACAATGCCTTTTCTTTTGATTGCCGGAAGCTTTGATCCTAGGAAACAGGTAACTGGTAATTTGATGGGATGTCTAAAATGACAGAATACAAAAGATGGTTATTTTCTAGACACCCAGTACTAAATCTCAAGTTGCAGGATTTCGTAGAAGCGGGAGCTAACGTATTTTTAAATTTTAGGTGTATCTCCTTAGTGTTTAATAATTATACCATGCTTTCCTACAAGGAATTGATGCTCCTGAATAACCAACAGGATATAAAACATGCTGCCTCTGTTGCCTTACCACCTACTCGTTCCTCTTTTCCTTAAAGTCTGGCTTCTGGCCTTAACATTCCACCAAACTTCCTGAAGGACCTCTTAGATTACAAATCCAATGGACTTTTTCCTCAGTCTTTCTCTTCCTTGACCTGTTTTCAATATTTAATACTACTAATTGATACTTTGTCCTCCTGGATGCTTTCTCTCCTCTTGCATTCTGTGACATCACTTTCTTCTGGAATCTACATGTTCAGCCCAAATTTCCTTTGCTGAGCACAGATGTTTTCTCCCTTTGCCTGCCTGATACGTTTCACCTAGTTCTGCAGCCACCCAGACTCATCCTCCACAGACAGACCCCAAAACTTCACCCTTTCCTAATTGACTCCTTGTTTCTCTTAAGAACATCACAGTCCTCTCCATCACCCAGACTTGGGTCCTTTGAGTCATTTTTTTTTTCACTCTTCCTCATCACATTCTAAGTCCTATTAATTCTTCTTCCAGAATCTCTCCTCTATTCATCCTCTCCACATAGGCTACTATAACTCAAATCCAGGCCCTCATCATGCCCTACCCAAACAATAATAATTGTAAAAGCCTCTTCACTTGTCTCCCCCATTCCAGTCTTCCTCTATCACCTATCCTTCATATACATTTCAAAATAATTCTCCTAAATGCATAACTCCAATTACCTCATTCTCTTTACTCATAAATCCTCAGCATTGCCTAGGATAAAATATAAACTTTTTATCATGACAGTTTAAGGTTTTATACAATCTAGCTCCAGTCTACGTATCTAGTCTTATTTCAGACCACTGCCTACAATACTTTAGGTCCTGGCCACTCTGGACTACGAGCTATTCCTCGATCTTATCTTGCCTTCTATTGCCTCTATGTGTTTGAGCATGCCATCCCCATCCCTTGCTATTGAATCCTTTTTCTTCAAGGCTAGTTCAGGTACCACTTCCAAGGAGTCTTTCCTGATCCTGCAAGCTCAGAAGGGATTTTTCTGCTCAAATTATACTAGAGAAAATTTTGCCTGCATCCCTCCTTTGACCTAAAATGATCACTTTCTACCTTATATTAAACTCATTCATGCACATGATTTATCCTCATGTGTAGACTCCTTGAGGGCAAGGATTGTATCATTGTTATCTTTGTATTCCCAATAACTTGTGCTCAAGGTAGGAACTTATTTTATTAAAGTTAGTTGAAAATCGAATTGAGTTAATTTTCTATTGGTGATTGGTTTATGCTAAAGCAGTCGTTTTCTTACCTGGTCATCCTTGTGCCAGGTCAACACATTTAACAGCTAGCAGGGGGTATGTTTGATATAATCTGGTCAGTGGAACCAAGCTTTTCTTTGGTCAAAGTAAATTGACTTATGGGATTGAAACCTATCACCTTGAACTAATTAGCATAGTCCTCTAACCAAATGAACTAATAACCTGAGGATACCCCAAAATGCATTTTGGTAATGATGAATTGGGGTATATTAGTTTTAATAAAATAACAAAAAATTCATTTAGTTTTCTAACAATATTATTAGCCTTTATTACAAATATTTTAAAGGTTTATGAGATTTGTCCGTTCAACATTTTAGTGTGAATTATGCACATGTGTGACATAACTATAAATTAGAACTTACACTAATATTATAGCTTAAAGTTCACAAAGTACTTTCCTCACAACAACTCAGTAGGTGGTGCATCAATTATCATTTTACAGATGAGGAAACTGAAGCTCCAAGAAATTAAGCAATTTGCTCAAGGTCACAGAGCTAATGAGTGTCAGGACTGGGATTCAAATCAGATCGTCTAACTGCAAGTCCGTTGCTTTCTACACTATACATACTGCCTTGTGGTCTCTGTCCCTCAGTGAGCTTACAGTTTAGTTAGAGAAATAAGACAGGTACCTACATAAGTATAATACATGGAAGAATCTAATAAATATAAGAAAAGGTGAAGATAATGTGGGAGTTTTCAAAAGGGAGGCATCATTCCTATAGCAGGGAAGGCTTCACTGTAAACATTTCATCTGAATGGGCCTTGAAGGATGGGTTCAATTTTGACCAGTTAGGATGAAGAAAACAGGGCCTTTCAATTTGAAGGAATATAGGATCATAGGTTTAGAATTGGATGGGACAATAGACATCCTCTAGTTCACCCCTTTTGTTTTACAGATAAGGAAACCCAGTCCCATAGAGGTTAAACATCTTGCCTGGGGTCACAGAGGTAGTAAAATGCCAGTCAGGATTTCAATACACGTTCTCTGAATCTAAATCTAGCATACCTTTCACCATACCACACTGCCTCTCATAAGTAAAAGAGCAGAAAGGGGAAGTATGGGGCACCGTTTGTAAAACCAGAAGTTGGAATCATAGGTCATTAGAGATAGAATATACCCTAGAGATATTTGTATGCATGGAAGGGAACTAAAGCCAAAAAGGTAGAATGATTTGCCCCAGCTAATTAGCAGTAAGATCTCTTGATTCGCAATGTGATGATCTTCAGCTGAACGTGGATCCCTGGGGCATTCCACTGGAGGAGACCTTCTTCCAAGTCGACATTGAGCCATTAATAACTACTCTTTTCCTGGGGTATTCAACCACTTCTGAGTGCATCCACTTGCACTATCACCTAGTGCACATAGTTCCTTTTCCACCCCTACAAGAATAACATAAGAAATTTTGTGGGAAGCTTTATTAAAATCTAGGCAATCTGGGTCTATAGCATTTCCCTAATCCAGCAGTTTTTAGTAACCTTGTCAAAAAAAGAAATGAGGCTAATCTGGAATAATCTTTATGAGTCCAGCTTGCTCTTTATGATCACCTCTTTTTTCCCTAGATGTCCATTGACCATCTCTTTAATGGTCCATTCTGGAATTTTTCTAGAAAGCAAAGTGAAATTCAAAGACCTCTAGAATTTTAAATGCCATTATCTTTTTTTTTTTTTACAATTGGGACATTTGCCCCTCTCCAGTTCTAAAATTCTCTCTCATTCACCCTAACATTTCATGACTTCCAGGTTTGTTTGTTTTTTTAAATCTTTACTATCCCCTTACTTATCTTACATATATTGTTAGAAAAATTCCTTTTAGTAATTTTTGTTTAGACCCCACTAGCTCCAAGATCATTTTCCATGACAGAAAAAAGCAAGACAAAAATTGAGACAGTTCTGCCTTCTCTCCATGGTCAGTATTATCACATCGACCAGAGCAGTAGTCCCACCCTTATATCTCAATATAGCTTTTTCAAAAAACACCCCTCAGGCTTTTTTAAACTTCAGTCATTATAAGTTATAGCATTTTAACTCCGTTCTTACAGGATTGTGTCATACTTTTATATTCATCTTCTGTTACTAATATATTTCCATCTTTTGTATATATAATTTAAGAATCTAATTTGGTTGGTGAGTTTCCTGTGCATCCACATTAGTGCCTTTAAACAACTCGCCTTTTTTCCTCTTTATTGGAATTTTTTTTGTCTTTTGAAATTGATTTTTGCGAGCTTTGCCTGGGTTAATTTCACCAGTACAATATTTATCCATGCCATCTACCTATTCTTCTTATGAGTCCATGGAAGTCTGTTCTCTCATTCTTATGAGCATGGTGAGAATAAATTGAAGCTGTCAAAGGAGAAGCCAAAGAAAAAAAGGGCTGTGGAGTCTTGGAAGAAGTCCCCACATTTAGAGGGGACTGGCTGAGGAGAAAGAAAAATATCAAGGCAAAGATAAATCTGTGAAGGTGCAATGTCAAATAGACCAAGAAGGGAGAGAGTGTCTATAAGAACAGGTTTCCAATATGTAAAATGCTTCAGAGATATTTGGTGATCAAGAACGATTGTCAAAAATGCAAGATTGTAAGAGAGAAAATAAGTAGATAAGGAAGTAGAGGTAATGAGTGTAGTCTTAGTTTTCCAGATGTTTGACAGTAAAAGGAACATTAGTTTCAGAGGTGGTGAGGGTGAGAGTTACAGGGTCAAGGAAAGGTAGTTTTTTGTTTTGTTTTTGTTTAGTATAGGGAAGAATCCTTAGAATATTTATGGGCAAAGGGATATTAGATAAATAATAGATAATAGAGCAGGATCCAGGAGGGGGCCTGAAGAGATGGTATCAGAGGCATAGGTGGAGGGATTAGCCTCCTTAAGGAGGAGGGCCACCTTTTCCTCTGAGATAGACAAAAAGTATGAAAGATAGAAGGATGGGTGAAGAGAAGGGTGTGAAAGATAGTAATTAAAGGATCTCAAAAAAAAAGTTATGGTCTTGTTTATCTCCAATATAAGCCTATTAATGGAACTCTACTATAGTTTAATGACAAGGTTTCTAAAATCCTTTTCTAAAAAAACTGAATTTCTATATTTCATTCAGTTCAACGATCCAGAGTTAGAACTTTTAAAATTAATATATGTTGGGAACTCAGACTTTATATTTATTGTTCCAGGTTTCATCGCCCCTAATGAAATGCAAGACTATTATGCATCAATCATTTGATAACCTTTGGGGAAAGCACTGTTTCCTGAAGACTTGAGATTGCACTGGAATTTGAATGTGTGTGTGTTGCAACTTAACCTGTGATAAAGTGGCCCTTGGTTTTATTGGAGAGCTCTGATACAGGGCAAAGGAAAAAGAGAAAGACACAGTGATGCTTTTTGTTCAGCAAGTGTTGATGGTAAGAGTTACTCTGCTTCAGCCATGAACAGCTCACATGGCTAAACAGATTTTTATTCATTAGAATTTTGACCAAGGAAGATGAGCAGAAGACAATCATGGGCTTCCTTTTTTCAGGAATACAGAGGTTTATGGTAATCAAGGAAAATATGGAGTGGGATTATGAGGCACTGGGAATCGAGGTGGAAAAGGAAAAAAAAATAAGTACTTCAACTTAGTAACAGAAATCAGACAAACTAAAGATAAAATGTATTTTTTTGATATAGGAATTTGTTGGGTAAGAATGATCATCCAAGAAGGATTTACAAGTATGACTACCTAATGATTCAGATCTGTACCAGGAAGACTATTCACACTTCATCATTACTTTAGTAAAAAAACAGTAGTTTTCATTTATTTGGTGCCAGTGAACCCAGTTGCCAGGAATGAGTCTGAGTGTTTTCATACATATTTTTCATAAATGCAAGAGGCTTGCACAGAGTCTAACAAGCATGCTTAAAAAAATAATGTTGCATGCTCAAGTAGCAAAACTAAACATGCTTTACATATTTTTATACTCTTACTCAATATACCTTCCATGATGTTAGAATTACAGGAGTGGGAGTAAAGTAGGAAATAATGTGATTCTATAGGACTGCAGCAAGTTTAGAAACAGATTGTATGACCTTTCTCTCAAGCTATTATCTCACAAGTGAAAGTACCCTAAATATGAAGAAAAATAATTGACAATCATGATACCATTTTAATTTTGAACCCAAAGTCAAAACTCAAGTGCATTACAGATGTCCTGCCTGTAATTAGTTTCAAACAGAAATTGTCAGGATTACAGTTTTTATTTATTTATTTTTATTAGTTTAAATGCTGCATTTTTTGGGATCTTTGAAATGCTGCTACAAAGAAAAATGTGTGGATTAATAAGTACTCAGCAAGAGACTTTAAAACTTCACATAAAATCTGTTACATTGTGTATAAAATACCTAGTCTCATTTAATAATTTGTAAAAATGTATCTCTGGGTATAGTATTAACTATTGAAGCAAAATGATCAGTAAGACTGGAGATTGGAGAAAAAATCTGATTTTCTTATGTTGGTCAAAGATAAGGTCAGTATTGTTTACACTAAGGTATTCTCTATTGTCTTACTTGCCAACACTTCCCATTGAGTGTGCGCATTATGTGACTTCTCTGCTCCCAAATACCTGTAACCATAAAGAGAGGTTTTAATTCTTTTGTTTAAAATCACTTTTAAATGTGTGTAAATACCGTAGTATGTTTAATAGTAACATGTATGCCCCTTTTATTTTTTTCTAATACATAAAACATATTGATGTAAGGCAAGGTCTGGGTGGGTTTTTTCTTCCTTCAGATCTTAAGCTAGATTTTCCTGAACGTCCTTGGTTCATAATATTGAAGATTATAATTTTACATTTCAGAAGCAAGCATGAAATCTGGTAGCTAAATTTAGATCCTACTATTTATTGATATTTCCAAGAACAGCTAACTAGAGTTTGGAGGTGATTTTTATAAAATATATTTAAGCATCAGCTAGCTCTCTTTATTTTAAGCTATACAGTCATTTGTTCACATTCTGTACAAAGCCTGCACAATCTGCAGCCAGCAGGCCACTTGCGGCACGACAAGGGATTTTGGGCGGCCTACCAAAAAAATGTAGAGGAAAACATCCTTTACATTTTTTGCAGGCCACCCAAAATCTTTTGGCATGGGACCCCGGGCCACAGGTTGTGCAGGCCTGGCTATTTCAGCTGACTGAAGAACTCAGGTTTGGTCAGAACTCCATAAAACATTCAGAACCTCTTAGTGCTATAGCAGGAACAACCAGTACTATTTTGTAGCCAATAAAAGTGAGCATCCCTGTTTCATCCCTTGATGTAATGAATTAATAACAAAATCAATCTAGATTCTGAAGTGCTATCATTTTATAAGTATTAAAAGACATGTTGCATTGAGGAAATGATGAAAATATGGTCCTTCTGCACATGCAAATGCTTTTGACTTCGTTTTGTCAATTTCTGTAGCAATTTCTTAACAGCCATAGAAATTAATTCTGGACTAAGATGTGGCAACATGATTTTCTTTCATATCATGTTTTTTCAACTTAAAAAATACCAAAGAATATATTGTTTAATATTTTTATATTTAAACTTTGCAACCTTTAAAAAAAATTATGATTACAATAATCAAGCCCCTATATAAATAATGAAAGACAGATGTTTATATCAACTTTTCACACAGGTCATAGAATGTTCACTGTTTGGCTGATTTAAAAAAAAAAAAAAGAAATCTTGTTAGTAAATATGGTGTGCTATCTAGTTTTTTTTCTGTTCTATACTGAAATGCACACAGATTAGGAAAAAAGCTAGTCATCTGAGTAAATTATATACTGTATATCACTATGGGCTTGGATTTATAAACTGCATATAATGTTTAATTGTAGTGACTATTGTGGAGGAAAGCCTAAAGGATTAAAAAGTTCACTAAGATAGGTCTTAATGTAGTACTAGAGTTTCTTCATGTTAAAAGTCAAAAAAGGAACCAGTTACAAGAGCCTGTGTGATCATCTAAAATCCTTAGAATATAGCTTTTCTATTTCAAATTGCTGTATGACTCTTGGATTTCCAGGAGATTTCTTTAGGATGACACAGTCTAAATAATTACTGAATGGACCTGGGGGCCAGGGCTGGGATGACAGGAGAGAATTGGCCATTTCTTTTAAATTGTATAAAAGCTAAACAAGGTATACAATTATCCTTTTTAGGTTAGTGCTCAGCCAAACCTGAATTTTTAACAAGCTTGATCAGCAATTGGAAAAAAAAACCCTTAAATTACATCAAATGGACCCAGTTTTAACCAACTAAAATTTTGAGGTTTTATCACTTAACATAAAACAGCCATTCTAGAACTGTTAGTTGTAGATGTTCAGTTGAACTATATGACAGCATAACCAATCTGATTCTTTCTGAAAAGTTCACAGATCAGTGTCACTTAATGTGTGATAATTTTCTTTAGTCAGAAATCCAAGATGATCACATCAGGAATACTGTTGTCCTTTTATTTCTTATATTTATATATGAACTAAATCTGGTCCTAACTTACAAAATTCTATGAAATGGCTGAAGATATAATTTGGATTTATTAGTTGTTTATTTACTTTCATGTGAAAGTAGAAACATTATTTATATGAAATATAAAATTCCCAATTAACTAGCAGAAATATTTTGGTTACTCAGATAATTCAAGTGAAAAACATTATAAAGTATCTAACTCTTTAACTATCAGGATTAAGTTTTTACTTTCACTGTCTCTTTCTTTGTTTGAATGAATGAATGAATGAAAAGCATTTAAGTACTTACCATGTGCCAAGCACAGTGCTAAGCATGCTAATAACACCCACTATAATAGGGAAAACACATAATCTCAGTATCAGTTTCAATTTGACTACAGATGAGTATATTGTAAGAAAATATCAGAAGCACTGAATATACAATAAGAATCACTAAATATTGTAAATAAGAGATTAAACTCCCTAAAGAGTTAAGGCTCATAAACTTCTAGTTAATTCTGTCCTGCATCAGCACTTTTTGTAATAGTGGCTTATAATTAAGATTATAATGAAGAGCATTAACACTGCATTTTCTAATGTATTGTCACAGTATCATATAAAGTGTTAATAGCCATTTTACTTGTCTTTTATGAAGTTAGCTTCATACATCTGCCAGAAATTAACATTATCCTATGCAGGATAGAAAAATAACATTGTTTCCCAGCTATAGAGACACATCTACACTTATTAAAACTGTGGTTCTCTTCCCACTTTTTTCATTCTTGAAAACCAATTCAAAAGCATGTGAAGTTATTATTCTTTAATTGATGGTAGCAAATTTTGCACAGTTCCAAATCTTGCGCCTAAGCAACATAATGGTTGTATCACACCCTGTGCAAAATGTATAGGTCTTTTCTGCTTTTATACAGCATGGTCTCAAATTCCCCAAATTTACATTCTGGGCATGATTATTACCACAATCAAAAAGTCATTAAATGGAGAGTCCTAATCCTACTGATTAAACTGCCTATTTTAGAAAATGAATTAATTCTTTTAGAACATTAGGGCACCCATTGGGTGCTAAGGAATAACTTATGTTGCAATGAATTTTCTAAGTTGTATCCTGGTGTCTGTTTCAAGACAAGGCATTCCACTATGACAATTCCTGATGAGAAGCTAAAAGATTTTATTTTAGTGTGGTATTTCCTCCTGCAAACCAACTCTTTTATTATTTTTTAAAATCATTTGGGGAGTAGGGTGAGAAATAATTTCAATTTACATGGGATTTAATGGATGGTAAGTCTCATTTTACTTGTTGTCTCTTCTGTAGGGTCAAAATTCTAGTCTGCCTATACATTATGATTTGAAGGAGTAGGAGACAGGCATCCTTTCTCCAAATAAACTAGCCACTGTCATTCCTTCCAGTCTTGTAGTGTCCCTTCTTTTAAGTCCTGAAGGGTTTCCATTCTTAAAGAGTTCTCTATCACCCCTTCCTTGCCAAGTAGAAATATCTCTGGTGAGAGACTATGTAAATGTAGCGTTGGGGAGTATTCTGTATTAAGAAAAACATTATCAGCTAACTCTTTAGTGTAGATCACTGGGCACTGAGGGGAAGGCCCTAAGAAATTATCAAAAGGTAGGCAGTAAGCTGAGTTTTAGTGCCAAACACTAACTTCAGCTACTTCAAACTTGGGTCTGAATTGGTCAGACTGCCTGTCAGTTTTGCTGGGGTTGTTGATTTAACAAAAACAAAAAGGGGATTGAGGTGGGGGGAAAGAGGATAGCATTCCACTTCTAGAGACAGAAATTGTGATCTATCTACTTATGTCATATTTGACCAAGCACACTCCAACCCATGAGCTCAAAACCTACCAATGAAGCTACTGGACAGGCCTTTGACCATTGTAAGAAAAGCCACATGGTTCAGTTTTCCTAATAAGATTTGTAAATATTGTATTGCATAGGAATTATGGATTAATCATGCACTGAACATACATTGTTAATTTATCTTAGGTGACAGATATACGTAAAAATTATGCCAAGTTTTACATAGGTAAGACAACCAATACTGAAACATGTCCATTCTATTTGCTGCTAATTTTTGTAGTAGCGATTTAATATTAACAGTGTTTCAAAACTGTGTTGAGAAACTTTAGTTTCATCAAAGAAAGAGATGAATTAGTAATGTAGCCATCCTTTATTTTTTGTCAAAATAAAAATGTTTTTTGTCCTGTTTGGACAGAGAGCTAGTTGGATTAAAGAGTGACTGTTGTGAACTTTTAGATGGTGCTTAAGAATTCTTATCTTTCCAAACAGAAAGTGGTGTTTTTGTTTGTTTTTTGGAGAAGAAAATAAAAGGAGTATGTAAGACAAAGTGCCACTCCATCCTCAGGTCATTTTTTATGGTATGTTTAAAGCCAATATTTGTGCCACTTGCCAGTTTTTTGGATTTTTTTTTTCCTGCAATACATGGTTGTTATGGTTAACAGTATATTTAAGATTATATCATTATTGCATTGCTTTAAGAAGCTTCACAACTAGAAGTGGCCCATGATGGGTTAGTTAGCATTAAGGAAATCTAATTCACCCAAGGTAAAATACATACAGGTCAACTAAAATCAAGGCACTAATTTTTGTTATAATTTTCCTTTTTCAGTATTTTATTCCATAACAGGATTCCCCATGCCTCCAAATTATTCTGCATGAATTTCACCAGGCTTAGTACTTGGTAAAGCCTAGAACTTGTCAGTTATTTATTTGCTTTTTCAGAATATATCAGATATAAAAGAAATGTTAAAAAAAAAAAAGAAATGTACACGTTTTTTATTATTGTAAACTTTGGCTACAGTGACAAGAATGGCGAGCTGTGATCAATATCCAATGGATCGATGCTAGATTTCCAGTGAGTGATCTGATGTTGTATATTACACAGGAGTGATACCTGTGAATGTAAATAACTGGTGAAAATGACAGGTTTTTTTTGGTTCTTGATATGTACTGTACTATAATATGTGTGTGAATATAGATATACACACACATACACACATGTATACGTATTCCACTGTTGTAATCTGGAAAAAAAGAATATGTATTATCTTTTTATACAGTACCTGTGTTTGTGTTTATTATTTAAAAAGCAAAAATGTTTATCTAGTTGTATAATATTTGAGGATATTTCGCTGTGCACAATTCCAAGTGCCTTAGAACACTGTGTAGCTTTCTTAATCGTGTATATATATATGTGTGTGTGTGTGTGTGTGTGTGTGTATATGTATATATATATATATATATATATGTATATGTATATGTATATGCATATACGTGTAAAAATGAGAAATTTTACCTCAATAAAACAGTTGGGAAAATCCCCACTGAGTTTCCACAGCGTTTAAGTTACCTGAGGTAAAAGCTCAGAAGGCTTATACTTATATTTTAAGGTAACACAGGAATGTTCCTTAAAAGACTTGGTTTATCATCTCCACCTAACTTTTTGAAAAATATGAGTACACATCTTTTGTAATGATTTTATTCTTAAAAATTATTGTCCAATGAATGACTATTAATGCTAATCAAGTAAAATTTTAAAATACTTTTAATTTAATAAGGTATTTAAATATTGATTTTAAATTCTTAGTTGCACTAGCCATTGTGCAAACATACATAAAAGCTCCCGTTCTCCAGAATTTGTAAGATACTGAAGCAAAAATAACAGTACAACCTCACCTTTATTGACTTTAAATAAAGTTTTACTTTGATATTTATTATAAATCATTAGTATGTATAGGAGGATGATTCTGGGTTTGTTTTGTCCAGTACAGGATTTGTTCTCAGTATATATCTCCAAAGGGCAATGTTTTTCAACAGTTGTTGATCAATGGCAACAGAAAATCACACCTTATATAAACAGTGACTTTGGCCCTTCGGCTTTTAGATGTTGCCTCTGCACTGGCTTCTTCCCAGCCAAAAATGTTTTTCTTTTTAGAAAAGTTTTTAGAAGGTTATATTTTCATAGTTGTTGGTAACGGATTGTTTTTGACAAACTGTATAATAGGATACAGCAAAATAAAAAAGTTTGTCCTCAACAATGATAGCTATTTTGTTAGCAAGAATTAGTGATTTATTTGCGATGAGCAAACACGTAATTTTTGAAAACTTTGTACCAAACCTAATCATTAAACATGTTTACCCAGTTCAGTAACCTAACTCTAGGATACAAGCTCATTGCCTTTCCATTTATCATTTTTTGATTTAAAGGTTGCTTTGGATATTGAGATTTAACTCCACCTCGAGTGACAGCCATTGCAGGTGACCACATGAAATGAGCTTCTCATTTTATATAATTTTTCATTTGCCTTAATGATAAATGACCAATTGTAATACAACAGTATTTTGCTGGATGCAGTTTCATATATGATAAAAGGATGCTCCTATAACAAATTCACCATAGTAATGGAGCAAATGGTTTAAAGATTTTTCTGCACAAACCAATTCCGTTTCAAGTTCCAAATAATAGCTAGCATTTAATATCTTCAAACACAATTATCTCTAAAGAGTGGTCATTGATAATGAAAGAATTCATTAATTAGAAAGCATTCATTAAGTTCTTACTCTGTGTAAAACACTGTGCTAAGCTCTGATATAAAGAGAAAAAAACAAGATAGGCCCTGTCCTCAAGTAGATCATAGTGCAGCTAATAGTAAAAGTTTGAAGATTCATTTTGTTACCTTTTAAATCAGTACCCCCTTTTTACAGACCCAGGAGGAGGAGTTATAGGTTAATTTCTATAATAATAAGAATGGGTCTATCTCCATTCAGAGAGACTGCTTTGGTTAGGGCAAGAAGGACTCAAGACTTATCAAGAGTACTGTGGTGAAGAAAGCACTGAGCCAGAAGGCAGGAAGGCTTCAAATCTTGCCGTAGATATTATCTGTTATCCTGGGCAAGTCATTCAACTTCTCTGCTTCAGTACTCATCTATAAGAGGGAGGAGGGCTGACTCAATGGGCTTAGAGGTCCCTTCCAGTTCTAAATCTATGATCCTATAATCCACATAAGAGTATTTCAAATGATACAAACTTCTGGTATTTAATAGATTTCAAACTCATCAAAGTTTCCATCTCTCCCTTCCAATCTATCTTGCACACTATTATATTGAGAAATTAATTTTACTAAAAAGTTTTGGTCATATCACTCCCCCAATCAAAAACTTTTACTGAGTTCCCACTCGCTACTGAATAAGGTTGCCATTTCTTAGTCTGGCATTCAAGGTGATACTCAACCTGTCCTTCAGTTTTATCTCCCTCTACTAGTAATCTCAACCTATACTCCACACCAACCAAACTGGGCTTACTCTCTATCCTCTGAACTCCTACAGCACTTTGTGACTCTTTTGGTACTTATAATAAATGCTGACTGACAGCATGATATAATGGAAAGAGAACTGGACTTGGAATCAGAAGAGCTAGTTCTGAATCCTGGTTCTATCATTTACTGACTAGAGCAAATCACTTCACTCTCTTGATAAAGCGGGATTAATCCTTGGCCTATCTATGAGAAAAAAACATTTATACTGTGCATTGTAAATGCTGAGTGTGATATATGAATATATGCTATTTTTGTTATTATATTTTTTTGTATATAGGTGTCATACACCTTCTACCATAATGTCCTGGACAGCAGGAACTAAATTTTAATCATTTCTGTATCTGCTATATCTAACACGATATTTTACACATATTGTTTTAAATACACATATCCAATAAATACTTACTGAATGACAGTGACTAAGTCCACAACAACAGAGCACCTGCTGTGTATAAGACCCTTGCTAGGCACTTGGGTAGAAGACTATAAAAAGAGCAGAAGAAATAGCCCCTGCCCTTGTGGAGTTTAATGTCTATTTGAATGTGAAAGTATATTTGCTTTCTTACTAACTTCCAAACCATCCTTTCCAACCATTCATATATACGATTGCCTTATTCCTATCCACAACCCCAATCTATTAGAGATACTGCCTTAGCTAAGGGATTTGGGGTGGGGGGAATGGAGGCAAGCTACCTTTTAGCACTGCTTTCATTAGCAGAAGAAAGGGAAAAGCAATGTGCCTGGCACACAGTAGATAGTTAATAAATGCTTATTGATTGGTTGAAACTATATATTTTAAAAAAGGTACAGATTAGATGAGCTAGCCCTCAAAGAGAATTTAAAGCAATACCTGTGTTCTCCCTCCACCCCTAACTAAAAAAGAAATGTAGAGACCTCTCTTATATGATGGCAGAAGAACAGGTGTTTTATAATTACAATAGATACAATCATGGTAAAAATTATTTAAGTAATACAATTTCCAAGTGCATTCACCAAATGAAAGTTGTATCCTATCAGAGATGTGCCTCTGGACAGGAAAACAGCCCAAGTGATGGAATAAGAGCATGTATTTATCAAAGGTCAGAAGTATTAGATAGGCTAGACAAAAGTTAAATTTACATGCAGTTCCTTAGATGCCAGGATCAGCAAAGGAGGTAAGGAATCAGTGACTACCAAAAGTAGGCAAGTATCAAAGGTCAAGGAAGGCAAGTGATCAGAAAGAGGCATCCATGCAAGCTGATGCTTCAACTGCAATCAAATCCCATTCATTAGTATAGATCTGATACATAGTTGTTTTCAGCCAAAAACTGTTTATATATTCCTGCCTTACATACAATGGCCTGGCTGAAACACACAGTTGGGGCTAAGCCTGCAGGTAAAATGGAAAGTGGCTCCATATACATGGGAGAAGGGAAAATAGTCACTGTTGAAGGTCAAAACACACAGCACTATAGTTATTTAATATGGGTTATGCAAGATTTTTCCAGTGTCTAACCAACTATCAGGTAGTGAATTAGGTACCTTCAGAAATCTAGACTACGAGGTCATGCATTACTTAGCTGTCTGAACTAAACGATTCCTCTTTTAGACAAAACTGATACTAATTCAGTCAGTCAAAGGAATTTATAAACACTAACTATGTGTCAGGCACTGTGCCTAATACTATGGATATAAAGAAAGGCAAAAATAGTCCCTTCAAAAAGTTTCCACTCTAATGTAAATAACTAGGTATATACAGAATAGAATGAAAATGATCTTAGAGGATAAGGCATTAGCATTTGCGGGGGAGAGGGGAATGGGAAAGACTTGTTGCAGAAGGTGGGATCTGAATTGTCTTAAAAATAAATCAGAAAAACTAAGAGCCAGAAGTGAGGGGCCAGAACATTTTAGGCATGGCAAATAGCCAGTGCAAATGCATGGAGACGGAACACAGAATTTCCTGTTGGATGATCTGCAAGCAGGCCAATGTTTCTGGATTGTAGAGTGCATGGAAGGGAAAAAACCAAAAAGACTAAAGGTAGGAAGGGGGCAGGTTATGAAGAATTTTAAATTCCAAACAAAAGACTTTAGATTTTATCCTGTAGATGAATGGACGCCACTGGGGTTTACTGAGTATGTATTGAGGGGTGTAGGGGTGGGGTGTAACAAAAATGCAGCTAAGATTGTGGGCTCAATATTCCTGTGGGCCAGCTAATTTCCCATAGGAAAAAAACTGCTATTCACAAAAGAAATTGCACAAGAGAATGTTGGCAATTCAAGACAAACCCATAACTCCATAACTAATCTAAAATAACTTAAAATGTGGCTTGCTAATGGCAGGTAAGTACTGTTATACTGATATATAAAATGAGCATCTTTTCTGTACTGTGTCAATGTACTCTTACTAGCCAAATGCTGTATGAATGTATGTACAAGTACTGATCTCTTCAGGAGCTCACCATATAAAGAAACAATACTCACACCTCACATAATGTTCATAAACCTTCAACCTATAAACTTACTCCAAAATTTATTAAAACTTCTTTTCTAGGAACTTGCTTTCAGATTCTGAGGAAAGCAAATCTCTCAGAAAACACTGGACACAATTTCCTGGGTCCATGCTTTTGCACAGAACATCCCATGTGCGCATAATGTACTTTCTCCTCACTTCTATCTCTTAGAGTCCCTGGCTCCCTGCTTAGCTCAAAAACTGCCCCCAGCATGAGGGCTTTCCTAAGGCAGGCGCCTCCCCCCCAAAAAAACCTTGTATTTGTTTTGTATATATTTATGTGTCCTTGATGTCTCACCTATTTTAACGTAAGTTCCTTGAAGACTGGGATTTGTTCATTTTTGCCTTTGTATTCTCAGTGCCTGGAAAATAACAGGTGCTTCAAAAATGTTTCGTTGACTGCTTAACTGACTGATGATTACTATATGTAACACATATAGTAATAGAAAAGATGTTATCAACAGCACTATTCCATTTAAAAAATTTGAAGGCTTCCACTCTAAAACTGAACTTCACAAAATTAAAATTTATTCTTGCATGAATTTAGTCCAAATTATCTGATTCCCATGATAACAAAGAATGATTTTTAAAAATTTTCTAAACATTGTAAAATATTTAAAACTATCAGGTGATTAAACAGAAAGAAGATAAAAATTCTGGGAAAAAAATTTTATCTGAGAGAAAAAAATTAACCAATAAAGCAAGAAGTATCTTACTGTAAGTTCATTTTCTATTCCATGTAATATAGGGTTATTAGGTTCCTGTGAGCCTATGGTCACATTATTTTCATAGACCAATCAGTATATAATCTTGTTTTATATGTATTTCTGTTTGAAGACACCTTATTTATTATTTATCTCTTTAGAAATAATTGTATACAGTATTTTCTTTCTAATAAAACAATGTCAATTACAGCATTTTTGTGTAGTGTACTTTACTGTGATTGTACTATTTTAACTGTCATACACATATACACAGTACATATATATGATACTCAGTAAAATTTACAGACAGTGCTGTGAACAATATTGTATACTGTGCAATACAGTAATGCAAATAAAGTCCTGGAAAAAATATTAAGCATTTAAAGTTTTATAAAAATATTAACTAAAATCTTGATTTTGATGGAGCTACAAGATGTGTGATGGGGCAGTGCATTGAACAGTTAAGTCTCTCCACCACAGCTTACCTCAGGAAAACCAAATGAAGAGGTTGGTAGAACTCATTCTGCAAAAGAGGAGGGCATTGACAAGGGAAGCTCGTCAACATCTGGCAGTTCTACCTCAGGAGTTTGGCTCTTACAACTTGTTGACGGCTTTGGCAATTTTCCCTCCTGAACTGGCGTAACAAATTGCATCAGCTTTTGTCTGCTTGGCTTTTCACCTCCTTTTAAGCATCTTGGGGTAAGAGGCGAACACAGTGGAGTTTAGGTGCTTAAATTTCAAGCTGTGTCCAAGCAGAGTCCCATTCTTAATACTGAAATGTTTTACTGATACAGAATTCTATTCTGATATTTTGGCCTCTGAGAGGGCCACAATTCTGAAGCTTAGGTTGACCTTCATCACCTTCCTCATCATTGCTGACTCTAATACCTTCATTGGTAGGTTCTACTGCCTTTTCTGCCAAAATTTGCTCCACATCTTCCTTCGTGTCATCAAAGCCTTCTTCACTTATTTGCCATGCAATATGCATACTGTTCTTTATATATTCTGCAACACCTTCTAGACCTACAAACTTTCACACAGTCTGGCTAAATACTTTTCCAACAGTTATTGATGGTAGCCTGCTTGATGCTGTCTCAGGCTACACCAATATAATCAATAATGTTGCTTGCAGTGACTGACTTCCAGTAATCTATCATGGTAGTTTCCTTGTTTTTGTCAAAAGCCTTACAAGCCTTGCTATAAAACTCCCTTGTGTAGTGCGCCTTGAAAGCTTTTATTATACCCTAATTGAGGGGTTGGATGAGAGATGTAGGGTTTAGAGGCATAAAAATCTTCTATGTTTGGGGGGGCATAAAAAGAACTTATATGTTTGGATGGGCATTTTTTGAGTTCTTCACAGCAATGGACTGGGGCATTATCCAAAATTAACAAAGCCTTGAAGGCAAGGTTTTTGCTCTGGAGATAGCATTCAACTTCTGCGATGAAGCAGTTGTGAAACCAATCCCAGAATATTTCGGGAGTCATCCATACTTTTTTGTTCCACCTCCAATGGACTAGCATATGGCTTATGTTTTTCCCTTTAACTGCTCATGGATTTTGGACTCCATACACCATTAGCGGTTTACTCTTAAAAGTCATCCTTGGCATTGGTGCACAACAGCAAGTTTCTACAATCTTTGATTTACAGCCAGGGGCTTTGGAGACCGATTGTGTTATATAGGTTCATTTGCCAACATCCTTGTAAAACAACCCATTCTCTTCAGCATTGAGAACCTGTCCTTCCACATAACCCTTTTCCTGTGTAACACTTAGCACATATTTTAAAAAATTCTTCCACAGCCCTTCTGATCTGCAGAACTTGTAAGCTGAACAGTTTTCACACAGTATTGCCTTTTGAAATGTGTGAGCCAGGCAGCACTGGCAGAGAAGGGTTTAACATTTTCCTGACCCTGGGTAACATGACTATAAATTTCTTTGGCTTTCTTCCCCACAACAGTGCTATCCTCTATGCCTTTTTATTGGCCACCTCACGAATCCATAAATTTAGCCACTTTTCCATAGCTTCATCACACACTATAGATGTTAACTTTCTGGAGCAGCCTCCCATACAGACCAGCAAATTGCCTCTTCCTTTTTCTGGATGCACCCTATCATTGATTCATTAATATTGAACTCACAGCCAACACCACTTCAACTCATGCCTGAATTAAGCTTATCTAACACATGTATTTTCTCCATGAGGCACATCACAACCTTCTTGCTTAAACAGCACTTCAACATTATGCTTGGAAGCCACTTTAAATAGTGAAATCATCAACGAAAGGCACAAGAATGTGAAAAAATGCAGCACTAAATAAACACAAAAGGGATGTTTGTTTACAGTATGAGAGCTGAAACAAGAAGGCAGAGAAATATCACTTTGTTTTGACCTCAGCCGGGATGCAGAGGTGACTCAATTTTTTTGCTACTCTGCACATGTCTGGGAATGACTGCAAAAGCACAGCAAGTATTAATTTGGGGCTTACAAATAAATTTTAGCAAGTAGGCAAATTTACATAGAATCCACAAGTAACAAGGATTGACTGTACCTGGTATTTACTTGAGCATATTTTAAAAACCTTAAGAATGGGCTGTACATTCATACCTTTCTTTGAAAGAGGTGAGATCATGATTTCAATTTTCAGCTACGTATACCAAAGATTTTGAATACATTTACCAGCTCAAATATCCTAGGAAATAAATTTACAGGGGTTTTGTAAGGAAACACAAAGTGCCTCAAACACAACTCGAAACTATTACAGCATTGAGGATATATGGTATTCCCCCTAAATAAACTGCTGCAGAATGGGGGAATGGGATAAACATTCCAGGTGTGCTGAAACCAGCTTGAACCTGAAAGCCAATTGTTAAATTTTCAGTGTAAACATTTAGCTCTTAGGAATCTAGGAAATCCAACTAATACTACAGATAAAAACTTGATTTACTGTTTTGTGGATTGTCCAAATTCAAAAAAGTGATGAGGAAAATAATAATATTGATTAAACTTAAAAGTGTGCCTAGTATACTTCTTTTCCTCTCAGAAAGACAGCTGTTTAACATTTGCCAGCATATTTTTGGATAAAATCAACCAAATTTGCAATAATGGGATCAGTCTTGGAGCTGGAAGGGGCCTCAAAGGTCATCTGGTTCAAAGGCGTCAATCACACTGACCCCCACAACACTACCAAATAATATTTAACAAAAACTACTTATGTTAAATGATGGTATTAACTACTACAAGAAACCCCATAACACTACAAAATAAGGTTAAATGCTGTTTAGTAATTGGATCAGATTTGGAGCTGGAAGGAGACTCAGTGGTCATCCAGTTCAGGAGCCTCAAACACAACCCCTCCCCAAAAACTACCAGATTAATATGTAATTGGAAAATGTATTTCATTAATTTAATACAAGGAATGACAGATAATATTAATGTGGTTTTCTAAGTCAATAGGCAGCTCACGGGGACCTTCCTGTTATAGTTTCTGAGATTGACTCCAAGATCTAGCTCTACCTAAATGGAGCCCGTACCATGTGAGGGCTGGCTGAAGGAGCAGGGGATGTTTAAAATGAAGATTCAGGGGGCAGCTAGTGGCGCAGTGGACAGACCACCAGCCCTGAAGTCAGGAGGACCTGAGTTCAAATACCGTCTCGGACCAGAGACTTGACACTAGCTGTGTGACCGTGGGCAAGTCATTTGACCCTAATTGCCAAAAAAAAAAAATAATAGTAATAAATAAAATGAAGATTCAGGAGATCCATGAGAGCTGTTCTGAAGTATCTGAAGGGCTGTTATGCGCAAGAGGGATTAGATTTGATCCGTTTGGCCCCAGAAGACGGAACCACGTGCAGTTGATGGAAATCACACAGGTTTCATCTCGACAAAACAAGAAAACACTATTACAGCCGTCCGCAAGGATAAGTCAGGATCAGGAGGTAATGGGTTCCTCCGTAAGCAAAGGCAGGATGGCCACTTGTAGGGGATGTTATGGAGAGATTCTCCACTTACGGTTTTTGCCTTCTTAGAGAGCGGATTAAAAACGCCTGAGAGCTGGTGAGGGATGGGAGATTAAGGCTAAATCCGTTCTCCGCGGAGGCCTGTAGAGGGAGCTGGAGAGAAAACAAGCTTTTTTTTTCTTTTGAAAACCACGCTCCTTCCCAGCTCAGCGGCCTCTACCGTCTCCCAGGCAACGACGCCTCCGACGTCCCGGGACGCCCCGCCCCAGGTTACAAACTGCATTTAGCCTCTTGGCCTCCAAAGGCACCTGGGCCACTGTCACCCCTCCTTCTGAAGAGGGTGGATGAGGTGCCGCTTGCCCTCTCTCCTGCACCCCTCCACATCTCCCCACAAAGCCATTCACCGAGAATCTACTCGGGGCAAAGAGAGAAAACCGCCCTTGTCAGCCCCTTCCCGAGCCCCGCGCGCAGCTTCCGGGAGGCGGGGCGGGTGACATTTCGTAAAAGGTCGCGAGGAGAGAGGAGGGCCTCGCGCCTGGCTCTCTCTTCAGGGATTGGTTTATCCTCTTCGCCGTGCGTGGTGACGTATTTGGAGCGAGCACCCAGAATAGACCCGGGGGGTTCCGGAGTTTCCCTTCCGCAAGTGACCTGGTAGGGCCCCATGGCCGCAGCGTGACGCGGGTACCGGCGCGCGAGCGAGTGAGCTAGGACGACCCAGCGTGGATTGCGCCAAGTAGAGCAAGGAGTACCGGGGAGCGTGTGGCGGCGGCCGACCCCCGCGGGCGTGATCCTGTCCTGGCCGCAGCATGGTGAGCAAGGCCGCCCTCCCTACCCGCAACAGGACTGACGAGGGTCTCCGAGGGCGGGGGTGGGGGAGGTATATGTCAGGGGATTGCCCCGCTGCTGGGCCGTAGTGGGCGTTGGTGCAAGTTTCCTTCTGACTTCTGTGGGGCAGTTCCCGGGGTTTGGGGGAGGCCGCTGGCCGGTGCTGGCACGTGCTTCTGGGGGCTCTGCTCCAGTGACATATCAGCAAACAACCCCCTGTCCAGCCCTAACTTTGTGCAACTAACTAGATCCTCTTCCTCCCTCTTCCTTCTGTAGTACATTAGAGTTTGTAAGTCCACATAGTTTACGCCTAGTAACCTAGCTGCCAGATTATTATTTCTAAAGCACAGGTCTAACTAATTCTCCTGCTCAAAAGGTTTCATGGGCTTCTTCTTCCCTCTAGGATAAAATACAAACTACTGTGCACTTAAAGCTCTTTAAAATCTGGTGCCAACTTTTTTTTCCTTAAATCTCCAGCTTTCTTGCTGCTCTTACATCCCAAGCAAATTAGCCCACTTGCACAACCTCGCCCCCCCAGCACCTCCTCTTTCGATATCTTTGCAAAGGCCAGGCATGCTCCTCCTTATCATCACCTCTTGAGATCCCTACGTCCTATCAAAGCCCGAGCTCTGAAGACCTACAGGGTCTTTTATGTAATCTTTCTTCATCTTAGTGCCTTTCTCTGAGACTATTTCCATGTATTTTGCTTGTGCATAATTGTACATAGTTGTTTGCATGTTGTCTTTAGACTGGGAGTTCCTTGAGAGCAAGGACTGTGTTTTTCTTTTTGGGTTTGTTTGGTATTTTTGCCTGCCTTTGTATTTCCAGTGCTTAGCACAATCCTGACACATAGTAAGGGGAGGGAAAGGAACAGCCATTTATTAAATGCCTACTTTTTGCCAGACGCTGTACGGAGTGCTTTACAAATATTCTGTCTTTTGAGCCTCACAACAACCCTGGGAGGTAGATGCTATTATTATCCTCATTTTACAGGTGAGGAAACTGAGGCAGCAAGCGGTTAAGTGACTTACCCACAGTCCTGTAGCTGTTATGTGTCTGAGGTTATATTTAAGCTCAGTTCTTCCTAACTCCAAGCAGGCATCTTTCCACTGTGCCACCTAGTTACTCGCACTCACTCAGTACGTGCCAAAGGAAGATTTCAAACTGAGGTTTCCAGTTCCCATATCCGGCGGGATGGGATGCCCAACACTCCCCCCTTCCCCCCCAGTACATCACACTACTTGTCAGTCTGTTAAATAATTCCGTTTAACATTTAGGTGTCTGTGATGTCTGCACTTTGCTTAAGTACAGTTCTTGTAATCTGATGAGAGAAAATGACATATATGAAAATAATGATGGAAAAGAAGATGGAAGAAATTTAGGCAAAGTATTATGAGAAATTTGAGTTGAAGAGTGTATTAACCTTGGGAAAGTGACGGGAAACCGCTGGGGAAGCTTCATGGATTGGTCGGGAATGTTGTATAGGGAATTTCTGTTTGGGTATAGTTTGGACTAGATAGCTCAGGGGTTGGCAAACTATGGTCTCATCACCTATTTTTTATGCAGCCCTCAAACTAAGAATGGTTTTTTACATTTTTTTTAAAAAGTAGTTTTCTGGCCCCTAGGCTGCATGATTAGGTTTCTTCCAAGTTTTGAAATTCTCTGAAGAGGCTGCACTTAAGTTAAGGCCTCACCAGAAATAGGTGAGATGGGAGCAGGGATGAGAATCCCTTCTGGTGATGAGAGATTCTATGAGGAAATGTTTGGGGATGGGAGAGAGCAAAATGAGAACAGGGCTTGGGAACTGACTTTTGGAACCTATAGTTATTCTAGTCTGTGAAGGGAATTTGTGTGAGGTAAGGCTGAAAAAAACTCAGTTGGAATTCAGTTAATCAGAGGCAGTGGGAAGCTATTGAAGTTTCTTAAGTAAAAAAGTAATATAATCTGAGGAGTGTGTTGGGAATATTACTTGGGCAGTGGTGTGAAGAGTGTTTAAAAAGACATTAGAGGCAGGACCACTGACTACCTGGGTGCCTGTTCTTTTAGTTTAGGCTGCAACAGTAATAGCCAACATAGCACTTTAAGGTTTATAGAACTCTATACAGTTATATCATTTGATCCTCACAGAAACCCTACGATGTAGGGGCTCTTATTATCCACCTTTTAGAGAAAGGTTCAATGACTTGTCCAGGGTCACACTGTGGTATCTCTAGAAGGATTCAAATTCTAGTCCTCCTTGCTCCTCCAGCACTCAGTCTACTCTTGTCTACTATAACACCTAGTTTGCCTGTAAAGAGTTTTGCAAACTTTATTTGCTGTTTATGATAGCTATTATTATAATAATATGTTACTTATTAAAGCTTAATTGAACTAAGACTTTGGGAACACCTTGTATTGTGGAAGTAAAATCAACAGAACATTGCAGTTTCTTGGAGGGGGAGAGGTACATGAGGGATAGGATTCGAAAATAACTGAAGTTTTGACCTGAAGAATTGTCTTGCTGTCAACAGAAATGGAAAATTTTAAATAAAATTTAAGTTTTGAAAGGAAAAAGATGAGTTTAATTTGGGACTTGTTGAAGTTGAAGTGTTGGCAGAATAAGGATTAGTAGGTGATAGGACTGGGATGAGTATGAGAGAAATAGTCACAGGATGAATCAGTATGTTGTGTCACTGTTCTAAATCACCTGTTCCAATGTTTCCTTTTTGAAGCCTCATAAAAAGAAGAAGCCCTTTATAGACAAAAAGAAAGCTGTATCTTTCCACCTAGTACACCGAAGCCAGAGGGATCCCTTAGCAGCAGATGATACTGCGCCACAGAGAGTTCTATTGCCTACACAGACAGTAAGTATACTGCATTTTTCTGTAATACTAGAGTGGTCTGTTGTTGAGATTTTTATGTTTTTTCTGGCATATCAGAATAATAATGACTAACATTTATATAGCACCATGAAATTTACAAAGTACTTTGCATACATTCATTCACTTGGTCTTGATTACGATCTTGTAGGTACTACAGATATTATTATCCATATTTTACTAATGAGGAAACTGAGGCTCAAAGAGGTTGAGTGATTTGCCCTGAGTCTCAAAGCTAGTAAATGTCATATGTGGAGTTTTCCTGACTCTGAAGTCAAACAGTCTGTTTATTATACCTTGTTTCTTCCATTAATGCTTTATTTATTTATTTGTTTGTTTGTTTGTTTTTGGCTAGGCAATGGGGTTAAATGATGTGTGTGGGTCTAGATTTGAACTCAGGGCCTCCTGACTCCAGGGCTGGTGCTCTATCCACTGTGCCACCTAGCTGCCCCCTCATTAATGTATTATTTATGTCTGATGTATAGGATTTTTTTCTTAAAGCATAACTAACCCTTAGTAGTAAAGGTGTCCTTTTCCGTATGGTGGAAATTTTGTTTTGATTTTGAGAGGCTAGCTGTCTTAAATAAACTTTGATTAAGATTGATAAACATCTCCTGGCCTGCAGGTGTGATGTTGCCTAGTATTATTCTTGTTAGTTCATTTAATTTTGGGTGATATTTAATTGGGATAGGCTCACAAGGTCTGTTCCTGCTTGACCTAATAGGTCCTCCTGTTTCATGGCCATAGATCACGTTTTTTAACTGCAGTCACCAGTCTCACAAAAACTTTTGTTGATGGGACTTTTAAAAATACATACAATTTCAATGCATAGGTGGTTACAGAGTTTAATTTTTAAAATATAGACCATATAGAAAGGGATGTTGATTGGACATGAGCCTTTGCAGCCATACGTGCATATAAATAATATATCCTGGGATTTTGTTGATATGTAAAAGTCCGTTTTTTGTATATCTGTTTTTGTATTTGCTGAGAAATGTTTTATAATTAAATACTACAAACTTTTCTACCACCTTTACTTGATAAAATGAAATTTGAATTTTCTTCATCTCTTAGTGCAAGTTATACATAAGTTGAGTAACTGGGTTTTTTTATTTCTAAAGAAATTACAGAGTCTTTTCTTCACAATTGCATGAGGTAGGTAATAAAGTGTCTTTGTTGTGCAGATAAAGAAAGTGAAGTTCAGAGGGGTCAAATAACTTGTCCAAGGTCATATAACTAATTAACTTTGAAGCCATCATACAAAACCAAGCCTTCTGAACTTAAAAAAAAAAAACAGTTTCCCCTGCTGTATCCTTCCTAAGCCAGCAGTGCGACTTTGGGTCCTTGTTACTCCTCTTGATATCCTTAATATTTCATGTCAGTGCAAGCTGTTATCACCCAGGTTAAGTGTGATGACTTATGAGAGCTTCATCCTCTTGTTCTTTTGGTTCTGCCATTTAATGATTGCTGCTATTCCCTCCAAGTTCGGGGAGGATCATGTGAGCTTGTTGGGGGTAAACAGGTTTATCTCAGGTATACAGACTAATGATTTGAAGGGCCTACTGCTATTGAAACTGAAAGCTGTGCTTATAGTCAATTTCTTGTGCCATCTTTTGAAAGGGTCCTTACTAGACTACAATATATATGACTGATTCCTCTTTGTTTATATCACAGAGAGAAGATGAGGAGAGGAGAGCTGAACAGAGGAAGTATGGAGTCTTCTTTGATGATGACTATGACTACCTGCAGCACCTGAAGGAACCATCTGGGCCCTCTGAGCTGATTCCCTCGTGCTCTCAGAGTGACGTACAAGAACAAACATTATGGATTCCAGTAAGAATATACTTCGTGATTTCTCTTGGTTTGAGGAAATATCAATTGATTTAAAAAAACAAACAGTCCTGTTGTTTTGAGGTTGGATCTTTTTTTATTTTATTTTTTTAATTGCTTTATTTTTATATCATGTTCATTAATGTAGTTTTACAGTTTCAAAACTTTTTGGGGAAAACAAAGACTTGACCTCTTACAGCAAGCAGCAGCTGAATGGTAGTAGTGACCAGATAGCAAAGTGGAAAAGAAACTCTTGATTGGAGAGAGAATATTATGGAAAAGACAAGGTATAGGCGTAACGTGGGACGTGGCAAGTGTGTCCCAAAGCAAGCCTAACAAAAGTATTTATCCAACCATGAAAGGACTTAATGGACTCTACATGTAAAGTGCAGGCATGGAGCCTAAGAGGGACTAAGACTTACAGGGCTTGCCTATAAAAGATTTGGAACACACTGGGTATCCATTTAGTTACTCAATGTAATTATTGATAATAATGGCTACTTGTATTTGTATAGCACTTTACAGTTTACAAAGGATTTTCATATCTGTCATCTTGTTTGATTCTATGATTTCTAATCTGAAATGCCACCATAAATCAGAAGGGAGGATCTGATAACAAATGTACTTAAATTTTCTAAAGTGTTGCAGGGTCTCAAACTACATACTCAGGCAAAAGATAACTTACAAAAATTAATTTTACTGCATTCCCTGTGACTGTCTTCTAATGTTGAACTTTAACCTCATACTTAGAAAAAAAATTTTTTAGTATAAACATTAACTGAAAGGGCATATTGAAATAATTGGAAGTAAATAGTCCTTTCCGTGCCCTGGGAAGTAGTTTATAGTGTAATGTTTGGGATTTGTTTGGTTTTTTTCTCAGAGACACTGGTTGTAAAGTTGTATGGCCACCTCTTGACATAATTATTTGGTTTGAGTTTCTGAATAGAGAATGTATATATTAGAAGTCTAAACAGTAAACATAGTAATATGGCAGATTACTGCTGGTATTTACTCACTCTCCATGTGATCATCTTAGAAGACATAAATAGCTTGACTACTGCAGCATTGCAGAACCTCTCAAAACACTGCAGCTAAAAGCCAACAAATCTTTCATTAGTACCTAGCACCATGCAAAGTGTGATGAAAAACTTGAGGAGTATAAGACACTCTCTACACCCTTTCAAGGAATCATAGCACTTTTAAACTGGAAAGGATTCTAGAGACCACCCAATCTAATTTTATGTTTATCTAGTTGGAAGATAATGTATGAAAGAATATTGAAAGAATACACATAGAGGCTATTAGGTCCTTTCCATGGTTGCATAAATGCTTTTGTTAGGCTTGCTTTGGGACATACTTGCCATGTCCCAACTTTATGCCTATACCTTGCCTTTCCCACAATATTCTCTCTCCAATCAAGAGTTTGTTTTCTATTTTGCAATCTGGTCGCTACTGCTCAATACAAACAACCAGGGAGTTATTGCATTTTCTTGAGCTGGAGAGCGTTATAATCAAATAAAATTGTGCTTAAGGGAGGGGACTAACTGGAATCAAGAAGACCCCTTTGAAAACTGTTGGCAGTAATACATGGCATGAGATGATGGATGGTCAGTGGCTTTAAAAATATAGTGGCAGTAGATATATGAAAGAATTTAAAAGAAGACTAGATGAGACTTAGTGACTAGATTTAGTTTGGTTAAGGGAGGGGGGAATCAGGCAAGATTGGTTGGGAGAGTGATCATCTGATCCATTGTTAAAAGACAGAAACGTTGGGAAGGCGCTGAAGTTTGGGAGAAAAGATGATGAGTCTAGTTTGGGGCAGTTTGAGGTATCAGTGAAACATTCAAGTAGAGCTATGGAAGTAAACTTCAAGTGACATACTGTGCAATGTAGATCAGAGTGGATATATACCTAAGTAAAATACTGGGTTTTTTTCCCCCCAAGACCCGTGGAATTAAGTTGCCGTCATCAGTATTTGCATCAGAGTTTGAAGAAGATGTAGGACTGTTAAATAAAGCAGCTCCTGTATCAGGTATGTTTACTATAAATTTGTGGTTTATAAATTGATAAATAACATCATATGTTACAGAAAGAAAAACTGATAGTGCCAAAACAGAATTTTCTCTGCTCTACATAAGATCAGTAATACTCTTAAGAATGTTCTAAAAGAATATTTTCCTGAAAATTCAAGTTAGACTTTATGTTATTATTTTGTACTTTTGTTTGTACATTTTTAGTCCTAAGACATTGATTTTTCAAATGAAAATCCTATTTTGGAAGGAGAAAAGAAAGTTATATTTTTATGGATTATTATGAAACCATCTCTATTTAAATCTAATTCTTTAAAAGAATACTACATAGGTCACATTTGAATGCTGCTGGTGCCTTTTTTTTTTTTTTTGGCTAGGCAGTGGGGTTAAGTGACTTGCCCAGGGTCACACAGCTAGTAAGTGTTCTGTGTCTAACATCAGATTTGAACTCAGGTCTTCCTGAGTCCATGGCTGGTGCTCTATTCACTGTGCCACCTAGCTGCCCCTGGTGCATTCTTGATACTACAAATTTGTTGTCATTCAAAATGTTCTTACAAGTGTTCATTATATTATTCACAAATCCATATTACCTTTTAATTAGCATTCATTGGAAAAAATGACAGCATTATTTTTATATATATTGTTCAGTTTTACTATTCCCATGTGATGGTATGAAATAAAGAAAGTGTTATGAAGACAAATCACTTGTGAAGTAGCCCTATTAATTTCTGTCCTCTCCCTCTAAATACTTGAATTGGTGACTTATCTTTGCATCATAAAATGAATAGCAGAATGGTTCATGTCGAAGTTTATTATGATAAACCCCAGGGTTAGGATTTTTTTTCGCTTTGGAATTCCATTCTGCTAGACAAGCAGTATAATACAGTGTATAGAACCTTGGAGTCAAAAAGAACTGGGCTTAAGTTTTACATCTTACACATACTGGCTGTGTGGTGCATGCAAGTCAGTTTACCTCCCAACATTCTAGGCAGCTCTCTAAGATTATAAGTTGCAGAAGTGTTACCAGTTTATGTGAGTGGGTGGAATTTCCATATTTGGAGGTCCCTGTACCAATGAAATTACAGTCCAGCCCATTAAAATTTTGTTAAACAAAATATTGATTGAAAGAATGGGTCATTTTTTTATATAAGGATTTCCTTAGCCATTGTGACCTGTAAGTGTTTTGTTTTTCCCTAAGGGAAAAACATAGCTCGTCAGGGAAAAGTTAGGAAGCCACATAATTTGGAGTAAAATTGGAGCTGGAAACTATAGGCTACCTTTGTACTTTTTCTTGCTTGAGTATTGTGTTGCTTCTAATTTAAATGAAGTTAAAGCTTAATTTTCCTTTTGGAATTTTAAAGCTATGAACTTATTGTGTGTTTTATAAACAAATACTAATCATTCTAGATTGTCACTTGGCAGTTGTTTTATCTATGGCTCTTTAGAAAGGACTGATTCAATCTATTGTCTTGGGAATTACCTTTCAGAATTTTTCTATGCATCTCTGTTTTTTAGGTCCTCGATTGGATTTTGACCCTGACATTGTTGCAGCTCTGGATGATGATTTTGACTTTGATAATCCAGATAATCTGCTTGAAGATGATTTCATTTTACAGGCCAGTGAGCCAGCTGGAGAAGATGAACAGATTGACATGGAGTATGTGTGTTTATTGACAGGATCATATGTATTGTTTCCCTTAGTGCAGTGGCTGTCATCGAATTTTAGAGGTAGCTTAGAATCATAGAAGATTAGAATTGTAAAGGATTGTAGTGGTCATCTAGTTTAACTCTCCCTCTTTGTAGTTGAAGAAATGGGGTCCCAGAGAGTAAATTATGCTGTTAGTCTAGCATTTAGTTTTCCTAATTCCTAGATCCAGGTGCTCTTTCTACCATGCTACTTTGGATAGCATCCTTCAATTTCTCCCCTCCAAGCACTGTCCAGAAATATGCTTCTTTATAAAGATTTCAGCTACATATGGCTGATGGTATGTCTTTATATAGTTTTAGAAGATATGAAATTGAAGGTGACAGTGATGGGAAATATGTGGATGATATGGAAAATGGCAGTGATGAAGACGATTATGACTCTGAAGGTCTTTTATCAGATGAAGAGTTAGGAGAAACTCAAAGGCACTTGTTTTTGGAAGAAGAAACTAAGAGTCGCTTCACAGATTATTCTATGACTTCCTCTGTCATGAGGAGAAATGAACAATTGACCTTGCTAGATGAAAGGTTTGAGAAGGTAAGAGTATAAATAAGCAAAATTTTGATAATTTGCTGTTCTCTATCAAATGGCACAAGTGCTTACCCTCAGGATTTGGTCCTGGTGTTCAAGAGCTAGAAATGGTTTTTACTTGAAATGATAGGAGAGTCTAACAATATTTGCAAATTATGGATTTCTTTAAATTCCTTTTTGACTTAGTATTTGGCATCCCTTTTCACCCTATTTCCCTCTCCCTAACTGAAGGGCATAGCTGTATTTCATTGCCCTAGTAAATGAGAACCGTTTTTCATCTGGTTTGTGACAGAGCGAAATTCTTAGTAATATGGCACAGATCCCATTTGTTATTTCACAGTGTTTTAGTGTTGAATACATTATTAATGACCCATGAGTATTTAGTAGTGGCAGTAATTAATAAGGAAATATTTTCAAATTATTCAGGAGAATAAAGAAAATTACTGTAACAATGATTAAAAATTTCAGCACAAAAAATTCTGTTAAGTAGAATGCTGTTTCATGATATATTTTGTTCTTTTTTTCCATTTTCAGTTCTTTGAGCAGTTTGATGATGATGAGATTGGAGCATTGGATAATGCAGAATTGGAAGGTTTTATTCATGCAGATAGCAACCGGTTACAAGAGGTTCTGAATGACTACTACAAAGAGAAAGCAAAGAAGTATGTCTTAATTTTTCCTTCTGCTTTTATGAAACTTGCTCAGAAAGTTAATTGGTTAATAGGACAGAAATAAATTTGTTGCTTTTGAAACATTTGCCTTTGTGGCATTTTTGACTTTAGAGAAACCATAGTGAATAACTTGTTTATATTAGTTGGGCACAGTATAATCAGCCTGAGTAAAGTGCCAGCTCCGCTTAATTCAGGTTAGAGATTGGTACCCTCTATTCTCTTCTCTGGCATCCTGTTTTCCAAAACCCAGATAATTTTTTTGACTGGAAACTTCAAGATAATTAGTCAAGAAATTATTCTGAATTCTGTTTATATAGACTCACTTCTCTTTTATTCCTTTCTGAAAAGCCATGTGTTCTTAGATATAAAAAGGCCTCAGACTGTAGACCTCTAACCTGCTTCCTCCCAAAATTGACCTCTCAGGTAGCTGACAAGACAGGCATTAATGTCAGGCTGAGTGACACTCGGGCTGTTCTAGAGTGGCCATCAATTCAAAGCGCAGAATTATTCTGTTACCACCTACTTGCTTTGTTGACCTTATGGTGGGTAACAACAATTTTATGTGAATTGATAAAGATACCACAGACTGGTGAGAAGAGTCTCAAAGAGGATAAAGTCCAGAATGAGCAAAGTCTTGTGAAAAATACTAAAAGACAATAGATATTACATAAAAGACAAAGAAAATTAAAGGGAAGCAGATTTCAGCTTTGCATAAAGGCCTTCCAACAAGTGAATGTGTCCCAAAATGGATTATGTTGTTTCAGGAATTTTCTATTAAGGGTTTAAGCATGCACTGGAATCAAAGGTGGGTAACCTTGTAGCCTTAAGGCCACATGTGGCCTTCTAGGTCCTGAAGTGCAGCCCTTGGAGTGAATCCAGACTTCATAGAATAAATCCCTGAATAAAAGGATTTGTTCTGTAAAATTCAGATTTAGTCAAAAGGACTTTTCTAAGCCTCAGTTTTCTCATCTTTAAATTGGCATAATAATGCCTACCTCACAGGATTGTTGTGATGATCAAACGAGATAACATGTGAAGTGCTTCGCAAACCCTGAAGCACTTTCTCAATAGTAGCTAGCTATTGTGGAGGTGACTCCCGGTTCCTGAAGGACTGTGCCAGTAGACTAAGCTGTGGCAAACTGGAAATGCTCCAAAATGGTGACCATTTCTCAGGGACCACTCGAGGCATATTTAGGGAAGGTCATCACCAAAGTGGTCTTGGGGTGCTGGATTTTTCAGCAATAGAAACTGGTAAAGACTTTCTGTTAAGATACAATAGGACTGTAATCTCTATGAATGAAAGGAGTTACCACACTGACAGAGTCACAGCTGTAGGATAGTTAAGTGTGCTGCTTCACAAAGCATTTTAGTTTTAACAACCTTGTAAAGTAGGTAATGCAAGTATTATCCCCATTTTCCAGATGAGGAAAGAGTCAGGTTTAAGTTTGACTTTCCCAAGAACTTCAGAGCTAAGGATTGAAATCTGACTCTTAGTCCAGTGTTATTTCTACTTTACTCCCTCTGCCCTGCCTTCCTCCCACTATGTAAACAAAATACCCAGCAGGGAGAAGGAGACATAGGAAAGCCTGAATGGAAGTGACTGGCATGGAATCCTCACAGACATTGTGAATGCTTATTTACATAACTGATACCTCTGTTTGTTTTAGAAATTGCATTTCCATAAACATGTTGCGGTAGTTTTTTTTCCTTCATTCTGACTTTTTAAAAAATTCAACCAAAAGCTGTATCAAATTGGATACTCTTGAACCGCTTGAAGATGAGAGCTTACTTATTAATGAAAAGGATGAGGATGAAGAAGAAGAAATTGTTACTGTAGTTATTGAAGAGCCCAAAGAGAAATGGGATTGTGAATCTATTTGTAGTAAGTATTTTTGTTGTTAATGTCAGTAATGTTATGATGTATTCACTATGTTATGTTTTCGTTACTTGGGTTGTTAAGATTTCATATTATGTAAAATGTTTAAAAGAACTCTTCGATATTATCTTTTGAGTACTGAAGAAATGGGGGTAGCAGCTTTTCTCATTTTTCATCTCAGTCCTTGATTTTTCTTAAGCAGAATGAAACAATGGTAGTTATAGTCTCCATCACCTATCATGTTAGGCTCTAGGTGAATGTAGTAAGAACCGCCTCCTTTAATTGAAAGTGTTTATTCATGGGTTATTATTACTGGTTTTTCTCTTTTTAGGTACATATTCAAATTTATACAACCATCCTCAGCTTATCAAGTGCCCACCAAAGGTAGGTATGCCCTGTGCCATTTTAAATTGCCAAAAAGGTATGCTTGGAAATAAGTCCATTTCTTGGGTAAAGAACAAGACACCATTAAGGAAAGCATAATGGTGCCATCAGCAAAGGGGACATGCATTTACAACACAGAGGTGGGCAAATGAAGAAAGAATGTTGTTAACCAATTCTCCAGCGAGATTTTTATTTCTTTCCCAGCCCAAACACATGCAGCTCTCCTCTAAAACAGGGATACCTCTGAACGTCTTGCCACAGAAAGGACCTACCGCAAAACAAATCGAACGACGGCAGATGATTAATGATAGTGATCTTCCTAGAGTATCAGTCCAGCCACGCTGTAAAAATGAAACCAAAGAAGACAGAAAAGCGAGAAAACAAGCTATAAAAGAAGAGCGTAAGGTAGGTAAAACACTTTTCCATATAGTTATGAAGAGAAAAGCTGTGGAAGAGAAGAGAATGAAAACTGAAGGGTCTTTGTATAAGTCTTTGTAATAATGTCAGTCACTGTAATCATATCCTTCTGCAGGAACGCAGAGTGGAGAAGAAAGCAAACAGATTAGCCTTCAAATTGGAGAAAAGAAGACAAGAAAGAGAGCTGCTCAACTTAAAGCAGAATGTTGCGGGTCTGAAGCTCTGATAATGGAACATTGAGACTGGCCTTTTATGGACTCGGCTGAGTATTCCTTTTTGGACTGAAATGTGGGAAAAGACAAATGACTCTCCTGCCAGTTACAGAAGGATGTACAAGGAAAAGAGGGTGTTTGGATTGTTTCATACCAGCACTTTTTTGAATGAACATTTTTTTGCAAATATTAAGTCAGATTGCTTTGATGTGCAGATTTTTATTTCCCATACAGCAAATAACTTCATGAGTATGTAGTATTTATAGGTATCTTTTCTAATAACATTTGATTAAATAAACTAAATTAAATGGCATTCTCAGTGATTTCTGGAGATCTCTGTACATTTGGCTGCATTCTTGACAGTATTTCCCTACACTGACAATTGGATTGATATGGTTGATATAGTGGGTTGATAAAGAAAAGTGACCTGATATAGTTTAGCTTTGCACTAATGTTCAGTGAACTTTTTCCTATGAGTCCCATCTGTAGGGAGACACAATTTATAACCAATTTAATAGCAGTTTGCTTTGATTTTAGATAGAAAACTTGATCTTTGGGCTCGTTTTTTTTTATGATTTAAGCTGAATGAAATTGAGCTAGTCAATATTAGATAAAAATACAGAAGTAGACTTTTGGAGCGCCTTTCTTGTTGGAGTTTTCTGGGTTTTGTTGTTCTCCCTTTAAATCCCATCACATTTTGTAAGATTCATGGGATTGTAGTCATAATTGTCAATTATTTGGTAGCCAGTGACTATTGGCTCACTTGGCTGCAAAACACTCGGTAATGATAATTTCTTCATGTGTCCATAATCAACATGTTAGCTATAACTGTTGTGTAAATCTGTGTTTAGCAAATCAATGGGAGTGATGAACGGAATGCTTGGGAAGGAACCATTTCCATCAGGTGAATAGCATTTGATGTCTAAAACTTTAACATTATGTTGCATAGCTAACTACTTCTACCCATGAGATTCTCATTTTGTTTTCCAAAGGAGGCATCGTAGAATAGTGGAAAGAATTTTGTATTTGGAGTCAAACCATAGTTCAAATCACAGCTTTGTTACTACTTGTATGACCATAGTCAAATCACTTTCACTTCTCTAGGCCTCAGTTTCCTCATCTGTAAAAGAAGGGGGTTAGACTAGATGATCTAAGGACCCTTCTAGCTCTAACAGTGATCTATTTAATGGAAATCTTTTATCCTTTTTCTCCACAGTTCTGATAGTTATTTAATTTGAACTGTGTATCAACACTATGATTAACTCATGCAGTCATTAGAATTCATTCAAGTGTTTGTGGAGAAAGCTACCAACATATTAGGTGCTATATAAACACCAAGGACATATATATGGGAGAAACTCAATAAAAGTTTGTTGAATAAATCTTAAGAGTCAAAGTAGGAAACCCATGTTTAAAACCCAATGTGAATGGAAGAAGGACTCAGAGAAATCATCTGATCTGATAGGGATTTTAAAGGTGAGGAAATGAAGGCTTAGGAAAGTGAAGTACTTGTCTCCAATTATGTAGCCAGGGGGCAGCAGAACTAAAATCTATCTCTTGATTTCTCAGCTAAGTTGTCTTTCCACTGGTAAAAGCCTCCTTAAAGGAGAGGTGTGTTAACTAAAAGAGCTGCCTAGTCAATTGAAAATAATTTTTCAAACCAGAAAAGGGCTTGTGGATATTTATTCTGGTTCCAGGTAAATTTATCTTGTGGGCTTCTAATTTCATCATATGTGAATTAAATAGTGTAAGAATATTAATAATAGAAATTTATGACCAGAGATCACAAATTTTAGCAAAGAGTACTTGTTTAACTTAAGCCAGATGTTTCTGCCTCCAGAACCTCATGCCCCAGAGAAGAGCAAGATAGTCTGATTTTGGTTCTGCAGAGCTACACAAAATTCTTCTGTGACATTTTGAAAAATAGAACTAATCTGTACTATGATTAAGGTGGTCTATAGACATGAATAAGTATTAGTATGTACTATGTTTAAGTCACTATGTTAGCATTGGAAATATAAAAAGTAAAAGGAAAGATAGGTCTCTACCATCAAGGGACTTGGCATCTCCTTTGGAATGATAGATGGATGGATGGATATGTATATATAGATATATACATACACATAGGTATATGTGTTATTTAAAGATATATATACTTGTGTCATTTGATAAATATATACACACATATACCCATTAAAAAGATAGCATATTCTGTAGTGTATTATTAATCAGGCACCAAGTGAGTGATATACCAAATGCCTGGGGAGCACAAATAAAGTGTTCTCAGATCTAATGTGCTGCAGAAGTTGGAGTTCAGTAGGGAAGATGAGCCTTGAGCTGGGTGGGTCTTGAAAGAAGGATAGAATCATCTTAGCAGACAGGCATTTCAGGTAAAAGGAATGGAAAACTGGAAAGAGGGAATGTTTGTGGCATATCTAAGTGATGGTGAATAGGACAAGTTAATGATCATTTCAGCAGCTTTTGTAATTTAGACAGCTAGGTGGCAAAGCGGATAGAGTGCCGGTCCAGGAATCAGGAACGCTCATCTTTGTGAGTTCAAATCTACCCTCAGATACTAGCTGTGTGACCCTGGGCAAGTAACTTAACCTTTGCCTCAGTTTCCTTACCTGTCAAATGAGCTGGAGAAGGAAATGACAAATCTCTTAGTATCTGCCAAGAAAACCCCAAATGGGGTTGCAAGAGTCTGACATGACTGAATGACAGTTTTTAACTTAATGTAATTTTTTTTCCAGACTTATTAATGCCTTTACTATTTTAGAAGTTAAATCCTTGGTGATAAGCAGCTGCTTATGACCTTTTTCGTTTGTCCTCTGTGGTGTACTATAGCTACACATCCACCATTGTGATGTCATTAGATAACTCCCTTCTTAAGTGAAAGACCTGATGAGGAAGGACCACTTCTTTATTGAAATGTTAAAATTCAGTCCTTTACATTGTTACTATGCTCGCAGTGTGTCTGATGAAACTTTCTGGCCTGATTGGCTGTTCCAATCAAATTCAGGTCAGTAATAGGTAAAAGAGAAAAACCTTTTAATGGTTAATGACCCTTGTGACCCTAAAGCTACTAGAGTTCCCTCCAGAGTAGGGAACAATTGACCCTGCTGGACTTTTTATCTTGAATTTGCTTGGCTTGTCCGCAATTGGATGAGAAAAACATCGTTCTTGCTTTGCCTCGTCCTCATAGGGATGATCTGTGTATAGCTCATACAACTGCCTCCAGAGACATGGGGATTTTTAGTAAGAAACTAGTTAGCTCTACTCCTAGTCTCAACCAGCCTTAGCCATCCTCCCCTGGTAATATGGGGCCAAATTACATACAGCTCTAGATCCTTTGGTTGCTGCAGTTCTGGCTCTAGATGTTTGCAGAGAGAGGGGGAAGACCCCTAAAGAGTTCGTTAAAATCTATCTTTAGAACCCCACTGTGTCTTACATATAATATATTTTAATATTTCAAGTCAAAATATTTGCTGAATGAATTAAAATTGAGTAAAGAATTTTCTCTTTTCAAAGGGCTTTTTCATATTTTTTTAGGTTATAATGCTTTCCATGTATCACTTTTGGTCTGTGATGTTATTGATATGGGAACACCCTCTAACAGTGCAAATCAAAATCCATCTATGCATTTTATATTCACAGTCTCTTAAGTTGATGCCTTCCCACAAATCCTATTAAGGGATGGAGTCTACCCTAAATGGATGTACTAAGGGTTTTCCTCTAGATCTCCTGACATGGTATCTTTTACTCCTGCCTTAGCCCACTTCCTTTTCTGGTCTAATATCTCTTTAACCTTATATTTTATCCCACTTTGTGTACTTCATTGGTTATATGCCACAACCTATTTATACTGATCACGTATCTCTCCATTGACCTGTAACTTTAGTTCTGTGAAGATTTGGGGTTCTGTAATTCACAGCTTTTTAACATCGCTAGGAGCATATTGGTGATTAAAGTAGGGTAAACTTTTATTTTAGGTATTCACTTACCATTTTAAAAAGCATTGCACAATTTCCCAACTGCAATCCAGCCTGTGTTCAAGTTGATATAGTGAATATAAGCATTGCATTTGAAGAAAGGAAGATGTGGATTCAAGGTCTGCCTCTGACTAGTCCCGGTATACCTGCTCTCTTCCTTTCCATTTAAGCAGAAACTTGGAAGTACTGTAGTAAACACTGTGGAAAACCCCAATTTTGAATCCTTGGATTCATTTTTGCCTCGTCTCATTCATCACCTATTTTTAATAAGTCGCTTAGTTCTGTTGATTTAATAATAATAATGCCCTTGTATCCCATTTCTGCTGGAACCATCTTAGTCCATTGTACTCAATCACCATCTCATACTTAGATTACTGCAACTCATGGCCTAACTGGTTTTCCTGACGATTTGTTGCGTTTCTAATCCATTCTGCAACCTAGTTTTCCATTTTCACCATGGCTCAAAAAGCTACAATAGCTCTATATGTCACCAAATCTAAGTTCTTCCTCCTGGCTTTCAAAGTCTTTGTCCCAATCTATTTGTTCAACCAAATTTCAGACTACTAACATGAGCTCTCTTTGCCAATCAGATCATATATGTGCCATAGTCCGTCCTACCTTTATGCCTTTGTACGGTTTCTCTGGATCTGGGGAGCACTGTCCTCTCTTTCAACTCTCCAGTCTCCCTCCCCTCCTTCAAGGCTAGCTCTAGTCACACTTCATGAAGCCTTCCCTCACTACTCCAGGCCTCAGTTTCCCTTTTCCCTGAACATTTCTAACTCTTGTTTGCCATTTATGTAGCACATTTGACTCTTTTCAGAGCTGGAAAGTGACTCTAATCATTCAGGTCATCATCCCCCTTATTTTACAGAGAAAACCAAGGCCCAAAGAGGTTAAATAAATAACTTGCAGCTGAGTGGCTCAGTATATAGAGTGCTGGGCCTGGAGTCAGGAAGACCTGAGTTCAAATCTGGCCTTAGACACTGGGTGACCCTAGGCAAGTCACTTTCCCTCTATTTGCCTTGCTCACTGGAGAAGGAAATGGCATATCTCTGCCAAGAAAACTCCACAGACAGTAATGTCCATGCAGTGATGAAGAGTCAGACACAACTGAACAGCAACGAAGTCATACAGGTATTCAGCAGCAGAGCCAGGCAGGAATCAAACCCATAAGTATTCAATGATTCTGAATCCAGTTTACTGTACCACACTGCAAAACGTTAACTTGCCAGTTTTTGAATTTTATGCTTTGCCTTTAATTTTGTGTGTATCCCCAAAGGTATTATTAGGCACTTAATTTTAAAATACCCTAAAAATGGAAAAGCAAATAATTATGCCAAGGCTGCCTGGGGGCTGTGGAATTTGCTTGCTCAGTGAGGTGAGAAGTTCACGATAGAAAAGAAAAACACAGGTGGATCTACAAAGGACTCTTCTGCAAGTGGGTGGTGGGATGGGAATAATATTAAGCACTCGTGGGCTGTTCTGTACATCAGTTTCTTTGTGGGCATGAAATTCCGTGTAACATTTTTGTGTTTTTTGAATTTGATACAGATGGCAATCTGAAGTTATATCGTTGTGATGTCTGTGGGAGAAGCTTTGCACCAGATGTTCTGGTAAAATTAAGACATTTTGTGGATGCGTTTCATTGAAATCAAATGAACTGTAATATCATTGTGGAGGAGGCAAAAAGATTAAATGCAGATGTGGAAAGGAAAGAAGTAGGATGGGAGAAGTATAGTCTGCCGCTGAAACGAAGGTGCCCTGATACAAATTGGTGTGACTTCTTTTAAAACAGCAGCTGAATCCTGTAAAATGTCTCTTGGGAGTTGTCATTTAAAAAAAAAATACCAGATGGAGGTGTTTTTTGAAAAAGTCCTAGATAAAAACACTGGCCAGTCCCTGGCAGTTCTTTTTGCTTTTCCAGCAAGAATTTGTGAATTTAGGTTTCAAAGCCAGCATACTACATAACAAAACGGACTGAGGACTCAACGTAGGGGTCATGAGACCTGGATTGTAGTCCCAACTTTATCATTAACTCTGGCTAGGCCAAAGTCAGAGAGGCAGAATATGAAAAATGCCTCTGAATTTGGAATCATAGAATGTAGGCTTAAGTCCAGTTCTGCCCTTACAACCTGTTTGATTTTGGGCAAATCACTTAAATTTCATGATCCTCAGTTTCCCCATCTAATGTATTTAATTGTATCTAATGAGGAAGTTGGCCAAGATGATCTGTAAGCCCCAATCCATGTGTAAAAGCTGTTTTTGGTTTTCCCATCCGTGAGTTTAAGTAAAAATCCCTATCCCTTCCTATCTCCAAGGGATATTATATAGTGTTTATACTAAATGATATACAGAAGAACTTGTCATTAGAGCCCATCATTAAGATGTAATGACTATAACTCAAGTTATATCTTTTGAAATGTAGTAACCACACTGTATAAAGAGTTTGATTTTAGTTATTTGGTCTAGTAGAGTAATACATAGGTCTAGTACCTTACCTGCATTCTAATGGGGCCCTGCTGATGATAAATAAACCCAAGATGGTGACATCTTTTTTAAGTTAGAAAGTTTCCCATGAAGGAAACTGGCTAGACTTAAGAGTTTGTTGTCCAAACATAATTGAAGCTTGGAACACAGGCTACAAAGGGAGTTGTGAGCTTAAGGTGCAAAGTATGAGGGCTGCTAGGTGGCACAGTGGATGAAGCTCCAGGCCTGGAGTTAGGAAGACCTGAGTTCAGTTCTGACCTCAGGCACTAGCTGTGTGACCCTGGGCAAGTCACTTAAACAAGACATTAAGTACGTCTCTCTTTTCCAGAGTAGTTAACCTAAAGTTGGGGGTTCTTAGAGAAAGTGGAGGCACTTGAACCCCTTAGATGTACTACAATATCTAACTTCTAGGGTACAAGTATCTTTTCTTTTAAATATACCAGGAAGTGTACCAGGAAGACTTGAACTTGACACGTTGGAAACTGTGATGAAGAGAAAGTTGTTGGATTTTAGGTGCAGCTGGATTGGAAGTCAGGAAGAGACCTGAGTTTTAATCCTACCTCAGATACTTGATAGCTGTGTAAACCCTGAGCAAGTCACTTAATTTCTCAGAGCCTTAGTTTCCTCATCTGTAAAAATAGGGTTATCAGGAGCATCTGTAATTCTCAGGGTTGTTGTGAGATTCAGATGAGATAGTGTTGTAAAGCATTTTGAAAATCTAAAGTGTTACATAAATGTGAGCTGTAATTATCATCTTCATCATCATCATCATCATCATCATCATCATCATTCCTGAAATCCAGTTCCTAGCCTTAATACAGCTGACTTTGGAGTCATTGATTAAATGACTTCCCAGCTTTGTTTTCATTTCTCCATTTTCCATTTTCTTCTTGGCTAGATGCATGAGCTAACCCAGCCAAGTGGTCAGTGATTTCTATTGGCTCTGTACGGCAGTACTGAGCTCTGATGATGGGTTATCCCTGACCACTTAGGTCATGTAAGTCCATTTGTGTCAACTTCTATTTTCATCTGTGATTTTTTTTTTTTTGGCCAGGGCACAATATTTCAACGTTGGGATAGAAACAAAGAGAAAAGTATATTAGAATAAACCTATAGAGATGTAATAACAAGAACTTATAAAAGCAATATAAATTTAAACTAAGATGAAATTTGTTTAATCGGGAGATGTGTAACGTCTTATAGCGAAGGTTTAAGGAGAGCAACTATCCAAGTGTAGAATGGGAAAGGTGGGTCTTTTTCAATATCACTGTACAATGGAGCTAGGAACTGGACCTGTGATTTCATTGGTTTAGAAAACTCCTTGGTAAGGAAACTCTCTCAGCCTATGGAGGGAGGTACCTTTTCTTCAACTTACAGTCTTAGAGAGTTGCCTAGAGCATAGAGAAGTTCAGTGACAGTCACTTGCTCAGGGTTCAACCATTGTGTATGAGAGGTAAAACTTCAAGATTGACTTTTTTTCTACTACACCACAATGGCAATATGTTACTGCCAAATAAGTATAATCTTGACCTGCAGTATAGAAGGATAATTTCTAAATCATAAAGTTTTCCCTGATACTCTCCGGTCCCACCATTACTGCCAAGCAGAAATTGCTCCTTCGAACTTTGGTTATGCCTTTATATTGGCACAGAGCTTTACACATAGTAAACACTTAATAATGCTTATTAATTTATCATATTCTATTTTGTATTTAATTATTTACATGGTTTATCTTACTCTACTCAATTGTAAGCTCTTTGAGAGATGCGACTATCTCTTATTTATTTGCTTATTTATTTTTCTCTTATTTATTTTTAATTTCTTTTCGTACCTGCCAGCAGTGCTCTGCACATAAGAGGCATTTAATAAATAATTTCTGATTGTATTGAATTGAGGAAAGTAGTAGTTCCATTGTACTTTGCCCAGTCAGATTACTTCTGGAATACTGTGTTGATTGCCAAGTGCCTTGACAAAATTGGGCTTTTCCAGAGGACAGTAACCACAATATATAGTGAGGTGATATGAAACTCCATCTTCTAAAGGAACTGAGTCAGTTTAGCTTGGAGAAGAAAAAATCTTGGAGGTAGGCAGGCTATGATCATTCTTTATATATTTGAAGAGCTTTCATTTGGAAATAGGTGTAGATTTTCTGTGTGTTACTCCAGAAAATAGAACTCTAGAATGAATGGATAGGAGTTAAGAGAAGGCAGATTAAAGCCCTATATGAGGAAGATCTTAATAATTAGAATCGTACAGCAATGGGATGGGCTGCCCATCACTAGAGTGTTCAGGGAGGTGATGGATGCATTCATTACTGCTCAGGGGTGTTGTTGACGGGGATTACTGCTTTTGGTAGGAGTTTGAATGACATAATCTCTAAGGTTCTTTCCAACTGGATTATGTTTCTGCTATTCTAGAACAGTTTGTTGTGTGTTACACTTTTGTTGGAAATTTATACATACCATGTTCTAATAAGAATATTGGATGGAATAGGCCAGTATCCAAATGACTGGGTTATGTATATAAAACCAAGGTTAATACTAGAACTTGAGAGTGTGAATAGGCATGAAGTATTGGGCTATGCAGGTAAGCTCCATGTAATGCAGTGAAAACAATCTTAGGCCTTAACATTTACAACATTGTGATCATTTTTTCTTTTTTCTATCTCCTAGGAAAGGCACGGGCCAATATGCGAAAGACTTTTCAACAAAAAACGTAAGCCTTTCAATTCCTTGAAGCAAAGATTACAGGGCACTGATATTCTCACGGTCAGAAGGTCTCCCCCAGCCAAGGTACCATTTAGTCTTCCCTGTTGTTTTCCAGTGACTGTCTTAGATGGGTTCTATACAGCATTCAGTTAAGATGACCATGAAAGGGCACACAAGTGAACTTAGGGTGGTTCTTCCTTAACTTAATGACATCAAGAGGCATGAATTCCCTTTCCAGATTTTCAATTGGATGTGGAGCCTGTTTAAGTTTAGTGTTGGGAATAGTTGTTCCTGGTAAGTGATGATATGCTTATGACACATTCGAAGGATGCTATCTAAAATAATGTTATAACATTTTCATTATTCTTTTGCAGATGGCATGAATAATGCCCTACCTACCCAAGGGATACTCCCAGTAGTTTAAAGGAAAATCACAAAACAGTGAACTGAATCTTTGGGTATACAGCCAAAGCCTTGCTATAAACTCATGTGTATTGCATTTACTCTAGATAAATAAAATCCAGGACAACTCTCTCAGTTATTCAAGTTGAAAACAAAAAAACAAAACTGTTTCTCCAGTTTCACATGGATTTTTGTATCCTCAAGTGGGTTATTTTATTTTAATCCTATTGTTATTTAGGGAAGTGTAGTCTACTTTGATGCTTATGGTCTTTTATAGATGCCACCCGTGAAGAAATCTAATTGGAGACAACAACATGAAGACTTTATTAACGCAATTCGATCAGCCAAGCAGTGTACCTTAGCCATTAAGGAAGGCCGTCCTCTTCCTCCTCCACCCCCTCCAACCATCAACCCAGGTTGGGGCCTTTTATGTTTCCAGTTGATCTTTGACATTTTAATTAAAGCTCCATTTTCATCTTGGCCTAATACTTAATCCATTCCAACAACCTATCCAAATTAAAATCAACAAAGAGTACTCTTTACTTTAAAAATTACATTCCAATGTCAGGCAGTGTGGGATAATAGATAAAGAGTAGGACTTGAAGTTGAGGCAATCTGGGTTCAGGTCTTACCTCTGACTCTTTTTGGCTGTGTGAATGAGCAATTCAACTAACCTCTTATCCCTCTCCTCCCTGACTTCACAACTCTCTGAGAGTTACAGAACAGATGTTTTGTCACTGGGGAGCTTCCTACACCAAGGTCCTAGACCTCAAATATTTGAAATATTATCCATTTCTTGTTTTTAACCACTTGAATATTATTTTTTTTCTATTTCAAATTCACAGTTGCAAAGTGAAAAGGCATTTCCCTCTTAAATGCTTAGAAATATTATTTCAGCTCCTTACTCTAGATAAATAAACTATGTGAAAGTAATGTCTTTCATAATGACAGTCATCTTTAATATCCATCACTTTCCTTCATGTCCTTGTTCACTCTTGAAATATTCATCCAATTGCATGCCCTCTGTAAACTTTCTAGAGATCAACAACAAGAAAAACTACCTGAGAAATATAGAATAAGGTCCCCTGAGTTGTAGGAGATGGAAAAATTAAGAACTCTCCTTGGAAGTTACATGCTTGCTAAATCCACTGATTTTTGCTGTTTTTATTTCCTTGAAGTCATCTTAATTCACTGGGCTGGATTTCCTCTGAGAAATTGTACAGTTTTTTAACTATCCCATTTCTCCCTGAGACAAAGTCCTATCTCAGAGATGTATGTAAAAGAAAAATAACTTGATTTACTTTTGAAGATTTGTATAAAATTCTGTCATCTAGGCCCAGGGCAATCCAAGAAGACTTATTTAAGTGCATGGAACTTGAGCTGGACTTGATAAGTCTTTCTTCTCTGGGTTAGGTGAGGGAGATATTGATAACAGCCCACAGTTCACAGTTTAAGTTTTGACGCTGAGCAAGACTGGTTAAAAATCAAGATGTTACTGTCAAGCCTCATATGACTGGAGTCCATCTCTAACTCCAGCTAATAGCCAGTGCCCTTGGATGGCTCAGGTTTGATCTGCTTATTACTAAACCATTCCATTAAAGTCTCATCTTGAACTTGTCAATGAAACCTGGTATTCTCTTTTCCCAAGAACTCAAGGCCCATCTCCTCCAGCCACTACTTGTTGGTCACATTGGTTTGGGGCACCTCAATATAGGAGCTTTTATAGATCCAGGTTAGGGCTCATTTCATTGATATGAGCAGGATCCAATTCACCTCTAGAAAAATAAGCAGCATGTGGTTTGGGTTATTTGGTTTTTAATCTTTCTGCTAATTGTTTTCCAGATATTGAACTATCCTTGCGTTCCTAGTATACATACAACCTGGCGATAGTGAATAACTTCTTGCATATATTTCTGTAGTCTTTTTGCAAGGTTTTTATTTAAATTTTTGGCATTAATATTTACTAGTTATGTTAGTCTATAGTTCTCATTCTTTGTTTAATTATTCTGTGATTTGGGTTGTTAGGCTACATTTATCTCAAAAAAGGTGCATTTAGTAAAGTGTTTTCTTAATTTTTGAGAATAACTTGAATAGCATTGGCATTAAATGCTCTTTAAACACTGGATGGAATTCAGAATGCTTCATGGTAAAGTTTTCATTGTTTCTTCATTACAAATAATATTAGCTATTGGTTTTATATAAATGCTTTTGTTTTGAACATCTTAAGGAAAGATCCTTTCCTTTGTATGCTTTTTTAGATTTTTTAAAATAAATAAGTTATATATTTTGTCAAAAGCCTTTTTTGCATCTACTAAGAGATTGGGTTTTTTAAGGATTTTATGTTTCAACATTAATTTTTTTTAATTTTGCATTCCAAATTCTCTTCCTCCTTCCAGACCCTGCCCCACCCATTGAAAAGGCAAGCAATACAGGGCAGCTAGATGACACAGTGGATAGAGCACTGGCCCTGGAGTCAGGAGGACCTGAGTTCAAATCCGGCCTTAGACGCTTAATCCTTACTAGCTGTGTGACCCTGGGCAAGTCATTTAACCCCATTGCCTATCCAAAAAAACAGAAAGAAAGGAAAAAAGAAAGAAAGAAAAGGCAAGCAATATAACTTATTGTTAATATTATTAATTATGTTAATAGATTTCCTAATGTTGAGCCATCCTGAAATTCCTGCTATGAATTATATTTAGTTATATTGAATATTTTTTACACATAGCTATCTCATATTGACTAACACCTTTTTTTGATATAAATATTAAGTGATTTTGGTTGGTTGTTCTATTTCACTAATTTATCCTTCCCTAATTTGAGTATCAATAACCCATCTATGTAATAGGAGCTGTTCGGTAGAGTACGTTTTTATTTTGTGAACAACTTATGTAGATAATGGTTGTTCTTTAGATGTTTAATAGAATTCACTTACAAATTGGTCTGGTCCAAGAATTTTTTTCTTTCTGAGATTGGGTTGTTTCAATTCTTTACTTCTTTTCTTAATCTAGTTATTTTATGTTTGTAGATATTCATTTCATCTATTTTCACTTTTGATGGATTTGGGGCTACAAATTATGGCATAATTTATATAACATATATTGTTTATATGTTATATACATACATATAATTATGTATAGGAAGCTACTATATTTTATCTCCTTTCCTATAAATTTTCCCTAAAGGTTTTTATATTTGTAATTTGGTTTTCCTTTCTCTCTTTCTGGATTAAATTAGCTAAAGGCTTGTTGGTTTTTAAAAAATTGGCTCTTTGTTTATTTTTCAGTTTCTCTTTGTTTTCTATTTTATCTTTTGATTTTCAAAATTTTATAAATACCTTTACTGTTAAAATCTCTGCTTTTCAAAATGTATTCTGTATGTGCTTTTCTTGAGCTAATTAATTTATTAGTTTTCTAGTTTTTAAAAAATCACATGCTTACTATAATATAAATTTTTAACATAAATTTCCAAAAATTATAAATTTTTTCTAAAGATGGCTTTGAGCTTCATCCTATTTCAGCATGCCATATCATTCTTATTAATAAGCTTACTGTAACTATTTGTTGTTTCTATGATTTTTTGATCATTTAAGATTTTGTTATTTAGTCTTCATCTTTTGTACATATTTTCCTTATCAGTCATAATAATTTTATTGTGTTATGGTCTGTAACAAATGTGTTCAATACTTCTGCCTTTCTAAATGTATTTATTAATTCTTTATACCTTTGTACTCAATCATTTCTGTAAAGATTCTGTCTGATAACTTTAAAAACGAAGTATACTTTTAGATACCATTCAATAATTTCTGTAGGTCTAAAGATCTAATTTTTCTAAAACCCCTTTAGATATATAATTTGTTTCTCTTTCTGTTAGATTTGTCAGTGTCTGAAAGAGATGTCAAAGTTACCTCTAAGTATTGCCTTATTGTGTCTTTTTGCATTTCAGTTAGCTTATATTGCTGTGCCATTTCAATTCAATATTCAATTCAGTAAACATTTATGGAGTGCCTACTATGTGTCAAATAAAACTGTGCTAAGCTCTAGGGATACCCAGAGCCCCTGCCCTCAAGGAACTTACAGTCTAATGAGGAAGACAACACGCCAAAGGAATTTTGAAAAGGGAGGGGCACCAAGGGATACATGGCAGTAGAGCATGATGGTCCTGTGGAGCCCAAATCCAGCAGACCTGCTGAGGGAAAGTGGAGAGTTATACACTTGATGCATGTGTTCAATACAGATACTGTTTACCCTATGGCACATTGATTGCTATCCAGCATTATCTTGAGCCTCTCATCCTTTCAGCGCTCCATATCCCCAGTTGTTAATTCTGATTATTGCATGAACAGAATGATGCTTCTGGCCCCTCCCTGTATAAGCCTTTCCTTTTCCCTTGTATTACAAGGCTTTTTAACTTTGCCATGAGAGCATCTTGGTCTTAGCTAACTCCTGTGCTGGGGGTACAGTGCATCAATGCCCTGTTGCCCTTTTTCTACAATACTGTGGCTACCAATATACCTATTTGAACTTCTCCACAATATTTTTCCTTACACTTGCTGCTTTGCCACAAATCCTCTTTCTGGTTCTAATACTGAGGTTTATTCTTCTACAGTGATTTGAAAGGCAAAATCCTAACTACAATTCTGATACCCCAAGGAAGAAGCATGAAAGAAGGCTTTGTTTTGCTGGTCTTGTACAAGACAGTCAATCTTTCAACTCAGTGCATTTTCAGTTGCTGCCTCCCCCTTGCTAGAATGCTTTCCTTCTCTATCTCTGTCTCCTGATTTTCCTGGATTCTTTCAAGTGGCCACTAAAATACCACCTTCGATAAGAAATCTCTTCTGATCCTCTTTAATGCTAATGCCTTTCCTACGTTGAATATCTCTTATTTATATTTTTTATTTGTATATATAGTTGATTGCATGTTATCTTCCCCATTAGATCAAACTTCTTGAAATCAGAGACCTTTTTTTTTTTTTTTGCTTTTCTTTGTATTCTTTGTATTTCCCACCCTTAGCACAGAGCCTGGCACATAGTGAACAGTTAATAAGTGCTTCTTGACTTGATTTAAATTCATAATCCTTTAAGCATAATGTAATTTCCCTGTTTGTCTCTCTTAAAAGTAACTTTTTTTTACAATTAGGCCTTATTTAAAATCATGATTGCAATTCTTGCTTTACTTTTAGCTGAAGCATATTACATTTTATTCCCACCCCACAGCTTAACTTTGTGTTTTTATGTTTTAAGTTTATTTCTTGTATGCAAGAAATTGTTGAGTTTTGTTTTCTAATCCATTCTGCTACTATTTCATTTTATTAAGTGAGTTCAGACCATTAATATTCATGGTTATAATTGTTGTTTGTTTTTTTCCTATATCAAATTTCCCTAAATTTCCTCTTAAAAAATCAGTACTGAAGGCCTGATGTTTATTTTGCTTAAAACTATCCAGTCAAGGGGCAGCTATGTGGCACAGTGGGTAGAGAACCGGCCCTAAAGTCTGGAGGACCTGAGTTCAAATCCAGCCTCAGACCAAACACTTGACACTTAATAGCTGTGTGACCCTGGGCAAGTCACTTAACCCCAGTTGCCTAACCAAAAAAAAAAAACTATCCAGTCATAATCTCCTTCATTCCCAGGCATGCCTCCTTTCCTGCCCAGACCCAGATCTCCTGATTTTACTTTAACTGATATAATTTTTTTTAGTACTTCCTTTGCCCAGTCCAAATAAAAGTGTGGTTCTCCCTTCTTTGTTTTAATTTTTATTTTTTACCATATGACACAACAATTCCAAGAAATGCTAATTCACTTATTTCTCCTCTTTTCTCTGACCTTCTTTTATAAGACTTTTGTGTGTATATGTATATATGCATATATACATATTATGCATATATACATATACATACATATATACATATACTATATTTCAGGCTGAAATATATTCCTCTTACATATTGCATAAAATATTTTGAATCAAAGATGCAATGTGAATATCATATGACATTAATTACAAATTATTTTGTTTTATCTGTAGCAGCCTGAACCATTGCTCTATATTTAGGCAATGGTCCTAACTCTTCCTTACTTCTCTAACTTCTTTGTTACCTCAATGCTGTCCTGCCATCATACTCTAATAATCATTGCAAGAAGCAAATTTTAGAGATAAGAAACTTCAAAATCAGATTTGCAAAACATCAAAATGGCAGCTCACCCAGAAAAACAGTGGAGAGCCGTGCAGAGGGTACAAATAAGTTTAAGCATATTACCAATGATGCATTGTACTCAGGAAGCCATGTAAAAAGATAATCATCAAAAAGATCTTTGCCCAGAAAAAGAAGTGGGCTGGGCCTCTGGCAACACTGATTGAGAATCCACCTCTGAGCTATCCTTGCAGATTTCTTCTACCTCACTTCCCTACATGCACTCTGTGTCCAGCCAAACTTGACTTCTTGCTTTTCCTCTCATGTCAAACTACAATCTCCTGTCTCTGTGTCTAACTGACCGAATGGCCTTCCTCCACCCTGCCCCAGGAATGCCTGCCACTTCTCATCTTTGCCTTTTAGAATCCCTAGTTTCCTTCAGTGCTCAGAGCAAGCACCATCTTCTATGTGAAGCTGACCACTGGCCCCCCAGCTACTAGTGTTACTCCACCCAAAAGAATCACCTTATAATTATTTATATATGTGTGTGTGTATAATGTGCATATGTATACTTGTGTGTGTAGTTTCCATTTTGAAATGTATAGATTATCCCTAAATAGAATGTAAGCTTCTTGAGGAAAGGGTCTGCTTCATTTCTATCATTTGTATCTGCAGTACTTAATAGGTACTTTATTAATTGAAAATAGATAGTGACAGCGAAAGCACTGCAATGGTACCCTCATAATTCTGAGAGCTAGGAAAATGCCCCAAGCATGTTGGGTAGAATCCCTTGTAGAGGATCACAAAATGTAGAATGAGAAGGAAGGAATAGGTTGTAACCTATACCACTGGTGAGTATACTCACACTGACAAGATCACACATAGTCATAATAGTTACTGTTTCTATAACACCTACTCTATGGCAGGCACTGTGCTAAGCACTTTACTAATATTATCTCATTTTATCCTCAACCACTCTGGGAAGTAAGTGCTCCATTAATATATTGAATACTTCGGTGCTGTGTGGCTGTGATGTTGTTGATTATGGACATTCCTGCCAAAATCATGGAATATCAGAGTGGGAAGGGATCTCAGAGACTATCTAGTCCAGAGGTGGGCAGCCTGTGTCCTCAAGGCCGCATGTGGCCTTCTAGGTCCTTGGGGGCGGCCTTTTGACTAAGTCTAAGTTTTACAGAACAAATCCTTTTTATTTGGGGGCTTTGTTCTGTGAAGTTAGACTAGATTCTGACCAAGCTCTTCCTCTGTCACATTTCCAACACGTGTTCATGCAGGTTCTATTTAAAAACCTCCAGTACTAGGGAAACTGATACCTCCCAAAGCAGTTTCTTCCTACTTTGGGTAGTGCATATTGTTAGAAATGTATTTATTTTTTTACACTGAATCCTAGTCTGCCTCTTCAACTTTCCCATTCTACTCCCTTTCATATGCCCTGCATTCCAGTTGGACTATCTCACCTAAGGCCTAGCATTGCCTGTGTCCGTACCTTAGATTGTGAAATTCCCTGGCCAGGGATAAACTCCAGTTGCCTGCACATAAAAATATTACCTCTCCTCAAACTTCTCATGTTTTTCCTAGACCTCCTTTGCCAGTCTCTGACTTTTCCTTGCATCATAGTTATCTTTTTCCATGTCTTTCCCCTACTTCTTCCTCCTCTCCCCCCCTACCCCACACTTTGCCCCTAGTTAAATTAATCTCTTAGAGAACAGGGAATGCATTGTATCTGTCCCTGTATCATCAGCATCCAGTGTAGTATCTTACATATGGGCAAGGTACTTTAGACCCTTAATAAATGCTTGTTGAATTTAATTTTTGAATTCCTGCCTTATAGGTCTCTGTGTACTTGGGAGTTTTGTTTCTCCTATACCCCCTTTATCTTTGTGCCAATTCCTCTCGAGTAGGCTATGTCCAACCAAAGTTTAGAACCTTATTCTTTCAGGCAAGGTCTTCTGGATTAGAATTCATACTCCTGTTTGTGCTGCTCAGAATAATCTGGTCTTCCCATGTGTTTGGGGTTGTTGATTCAATTGATAGCATTTCTTTGTCATGTTCAGATTATATTCAGTGTCCTGACTGCATGAGAAGGTTTAATGAAACTGCAGCAGCAAGACATATTAATTTCTGCAAGGATCAGGCCTCTCGCCGAGTTTTTAATCCAGCCGAGACAGCAGCCAAAATAGCATCCAGGGCTCAGGTAAATATACTTATCCATGGGTTGTCTGATTTATGTCGTTGAATGTCAGGGAAGCTTGGGCAGAGGGGAGAATCTTTTGATGCAATTCAGAATCAGCAAATATAGAGTCCCTAGCTAGATACTGAGAAACCTAAATTCCTTCTGCTCAGGAGTCTCACTGGAGCTGCTCAGTATCATCACAGTGATTAGAGCACAGGACCTGGAGTCAGTCAGTGATAAACATTTATTAAGCACCCACTTCATTAAGCAGGCACTGTGCTAAGCACTGGGGATACAAAGAAAGTCACAAGACAGCTCCTGCCCTTAAGGAGCACACAGTCTGATGGAAGAGACACCCTACAAACAACTATGTACAAACAAGCTGGATACAGGATAAACTGGAGATCGGCAGGCACTAATGGGGGAACGGGAAAGGCTTCCCGTAAAGAGGACTTGACAGAAGCCAGGGAATCCAGAAGGCCGAGAAGGGGAGAGAGAATTCAAGTCACCAGGCACAGCCAGTGAAAGTGGCTGGAGTCAAGAGATGAAGTGTCTTGTATGAGGAGAGGCGGGGAGGCCAGTGTCACTGGATGGCAGAGCTTGTGTGTGTTCAGGGGAGGTAGAAGGTGGAAGAAGACTGGAAAGGTGGGGCAGGGGACAGGTTAGGGAAGGCTTTGAACACCAAACAGTTTCTTATTTGATTCTGGAGGTGATAGAGAGCCACTGAAGTTTGACTAGGGGGTGACGTGATCGTGCCTGCATATTGAGAAGATCACTTCGGCAGCTGACTGAAGGATGCATTGGAGGGGGAAGACACTTGTTGCAGGGAGACTGAAGAGCAGGCTTTCACAACAGTCTAGGCTTAAGGTCATGAGGGTCTTTACAAGGGTGATGGCAGTGTCAGGAGAGAGGAAGCTTAAACAACACACGTTACAAAGGTTAAAATCTACTGAGAGAGAGTGTGGATGTGAGCCTGGGTGGCTAGGAGAGTGTGGTGAGCTAGGCAGTAAAAGGGAAGTTATAAGGAAGGAAGCATTTGTGGGGAAAGACAAATGATTTCAGTTTTTAAAATGATGAATTTAAGATTTCTTTGGGACATCCAGTTTGAGATGTCCAACAGGCAGTTGGAGATGTAAGACTGGAGTTCAGCAAAGAGGTTAGGGTTAGATAAATAGATCTGGGAATTATTTGCATAGAGATGATAATTGAATCTGTGGGAGCTGATGAGATGACCAAGAGAAATAGTATAAAGGGAGAAAAGAAGAAGGCCCAACACCCATGGTGAGTGGATATGGCCTGGATCCAGCAAAGAAGATTGAGGGAGTGACCAAATAGGTAGAAAGAGAACCAGGAAAGGGTAGTGTCCCAACAGCCTAAGGAGGAGAGAGCATCCAGGAGAAGAAGATAATGAGTAGTGTCAAGAGATAGAGATCAGGAGGGATTAGGATTAAGAAAAGGCTGCTAGAATTGGTAATTTAGAAGGGGTTGCTAAGTCTGGAGAGAACCCTTTCAATGATGAATGATGAAGTCAGAAACCAGACCACAGAGAATTAAGAACAGAAGTGAAGACATGTATTGTAGACATCCTTCTCAAGGAGTTTAGCTTAAAAAAAAAAGGAGAGACATGAGATGATAGCTAATGGGGATGGATGAGTCAAGTGAGGGTTTTTGAAGATGAAGGAGACATGGGCGTGTTTGTAAGGCAGAAGGGAAGCAGCCAGTAGCTAGTGAGAGACTGAAAATTCATGAACCTGAAAGTGGTGCATTTGTGGGTGAGGGCAAGATCAAGGGTATGACCCTCTTTGTGTGTGACTGAGGTGAGATGGAGGGGAGAGCAGATATGTGAAAAAAAAAAGTAAGTTGGGGAACTGTGAAGGTAGGGTGTTTGAGGGAATATCAGTACGTATGTTAAGTTCCCTAGTATGAGGGCAGAAGTTGAGGGAGTCTGTGAGTCAGGCCCTGAACTCATAGAGGAAAGAAGGGGAATGTTCAGAAGGCAGTAGACATTAGTTGCCATAATTTTGATTTGGTAAATATGAACTGAATCTCAAAGGAGGGGAGGTGACTCAGTGACAGTGGTAGAGGGAACTCTGGAAGTGGCAATGGGCAATTCCAGGGAGTATTCCAATATCCCTACCTCTACCAGTGGATAAGTAGTGAAAAAAGTTCAGTCAGTGATGAAAAGGGAGGCCAGGGAAACTGTGTCTCGTCAGGAGGTTGCCAAGTCTCAGTGAAAGCCAGAGGATGGAAGGAGTAGGAAAGGAAAAGATTTAAGATGAAAAGATTTAAGACACTTGACACTTATCATCTGTGTGATCCTGGGCAAGTAACTTAACCCTGATTGCCTTGCAAAAAAAAAAAATGAAAGCAAATTATTACCTATGGAGCAGGCGTTCCAGAGAGCACATTGGAAGGGGGTGGGTAACTTTAGAGTGGGACGTTGTGGGAGATGAGTCAAGGGGAATGGGAATAGGTGATCAGGCAATGGGGGGATGGAGAATGCAGTTTGAATGGTGATAGCCAGGGGTTCAGAATCACTGGAATGACCAAGGTAGCACTGTTAATTATTGAGAAATGAGTTCAGGTAGGTTTTGATAGATCACAGGGGTTTGGCCTCATGATGGAGTTCTCCTAAGGTAAGGGGACAGTTAAGGTAAGAGGACTGGTTGTCCGGTATATATTTTGGGTGCCTTGTGCATTTGCCAAGAACCTACTGGAGAGATTATCCTTTGGGATCTGTCTCAGATGAGATCCACTGGAGAAAAATGGGTACTTTTTTCTCCCATTATTTAAAAACTATAATTAGTTTTCTGACTACATTTCAATCAGACCAGTTGCTTTAAGATAACTTTTGCATGGAGGAATGGCTAAACATTGACATCTGTTGTATTATGGGAGGTGTTATGACCAATGTCAATGTAGATCTAGACTGCTAGCCCTTTTGGGGAATGAGTCAGACTAGATTGCCTGAAGTCTTTACAGATTATGGGTGTGTAGGATAAGGTTTGTTTTATGGCCTAGAAACTCAGAGTAATGAATTCAAGTGCTTAATCTCTTTTGAGGGGGGCCTACAGATTTTAAAGACTTTTCTGAATTTGCTTGATTTTTTTTAAAGCTGTTCAGCTTATCCTTTCATGGAGTGAGTTAGGACTTCCATTTGAAATATCCTTTGTATTGCAAAGATCCATTGGAAAAATGTTGGGAATCCTAAATGCTGCAAGGATTCATTGGCGAAATCTACGGGTGGCCTGTGCACTAAAAGAGATTTATTAGAAGAATTTTCACACAGGACAGTTTGGTTTCTCACTAGAAGGTGAGAATGTAAGTTCTAGTCAACCCCAGCTCTGCAATACCTCTCTGGAGAGCCATACATGCTCTAGGAGTTTATTTGGAACCAGGATTTCTATGTGAGAAGAAAAATGTTTTTTCCTTTCTCTTCTTTTATTGTTGTTGTTGTTTTCCCTTTTTATTTCTTTTTTTGTCTTTGGGTTGGGACAGGCCTTTACACACACCTAGATGGGGTATGATAATTGTTACAAAGTGTTATTTGTTTATTTTAATTTGTACAGTGATGTTTTGGGGAGAGGTAATAATCTCAAAGACCTGCTAGCCATAGTAGGTCTAGACCTCAGTGAACACTGCTAATTATCAAGTTATCTAAGAATTATGCCCCATGACCTCTGCTGGGACTCATTCGTAGCAGGTATTAGGAAGGCACTTAAAAGGACCCTGCTGAGCCTCCCCAAATCATTAGAGAACTATGCAGAATGAGGGAGAGATTGAAGGCCAGAATTGGAATATGGATAAATGGTTCATAGAACCCCAGATAATTTTTAGAGGATGACAAATATTAAAGGAGAAGTTTAAAGGAAATGACTCGATCTTTAATCAAATTAAGGAAATTTTCTATAACTCAGCAACAAAGTTTGAAAAAATTTCTCATTCAACCTGATGGAATTATAGAAGACACACAAGGGACACAAGTAATAATCTCTAGGGCTGAAGGATATGCCATGCCCCCTGGTGGCCTTTAAAAATTGACAATCAGCCTTGTGGAAAGAGAATGGAGAAGAGAACCTGGAATGGAGAATGGTTCAGCTGTGGAGATTTCACCTCTCACCTTTTTCCTTGCACCAAGGGGCTAGGGAGTTCTCTCTCCTTCCCTTCCCATGTCCAATTAGCAATGGTTTCTCTAGCAGGGCACGCAGCAAAGTCTGGCTGCAAAATTGAGAGAACAAAGACCCTGGGGCCAGGACTTTGCTCCTCAGGAGATGGTGACCCTCAGAGCCAAGACTCCAGGGGAGCAGAACTGGGGAGGTTCCTGCTGATTCCAGAGTGAGGGGTCCATCTCTTTCCATAAAGAAGCATAGGCCAGGATTTCAGCAGCACCAAAAGCTAGAGGGCAGTGGTAACTACACCCAAGCATCCAGTGGAGACTGAGAAGACGTCAGAGGTCCTGTAGCTTCAGAGACATGTCTTGCCTCTTCTAACATATACCTTGGTTGTGCCTCTCTACTTCTGAACTCTGGTACTGATACTATATATCTATATATCTATATATCTATATATCTATATCTATATCTATATATCTATATATCTATATCTATATCTATATATCTATATCTATATCTATATCTATCTATCTATCTATCTATCTATCTATCTATCTATCTATCTATCTATCTATATATATATGTAGGAAAGTATACCCCAGGTTTGTAGGGAAAATGTTTTGTGGCTATTCTTCTTTCTGTGCCATTTCAGTAAATGCCATTGCTTTGAGCTAACCGTGTCCTCCTCTAGGATCACTGGAGACCAGATAAACACACCAGTGGGGGCTCACAAGCTGTAGTTTTAGAAATGCAGGCCCACAAATACCTTGACTCCTAGAGGAGTGATCCCCTGGATGACCCAATCTATAAGTGTTCTTAGGGCCAAGAGTGGCGAGGGTGGGCTGGCTATATATGTATATGTTTGTCTTACTCAGTCATAATTACTAGCTGTATCCCAAAAGAGGTCAAATGAAGCTTTGGGTTTAGGTACATTTCAATTATTTAAGGACTGAACTCTTCTTTGTGCAGGGTTAACTCCTCTGCAGGGAATGTTATTTGACTTTGTATTGTACTTCATTTATCAAAAGACACAGCCAGTTTAATTAGAGGGTTCTGTGTCCCCCTTGTGACTGGCATCGTGTCTTTCTGTTTTCTGGATTTCTCTATTTCCAGTAAACCAGGGAATCTGAGTCACAGCATTTGTTTCCCATCTACAAAAGTTACTGATTACATCCTTGCTTCCTGAAGTAAAAAGCTCCTTTTCAAATGGAAAAGGAAAAAAAAATTACACCAGTTTAAAGGACTCTTAACACTGCATTAAGACAAATGAGCTTTTACTTTAAAAAATGAATTTTAAAATATACCTGCCTTAGCCTGAAGAGAGATCACCACGGGCTCCCAAAGCTCTTTCTTTCTTTGGCCAATATAGCTCTCTCCTGGTAGTTATCGGCTGTAGTCTGCAAATGAGAACTCTCACTTGTGGTTGCAGGTGACTTATCTGCTTTGGTTTCCATGGAAATCAAGGCTGGAGACAGTCACAAGGTAAAAAGGAGTCCTTATTTTAAATCAGTTGTGCTCGGGTTTTTTCAGTCTTTAAAAAAAAAAAAAGCTACAGCTGCCTGTCCCCCAGACAACAGATCATCTGCAGCCCTTTTTAGGGGGTAGAATTGGGACATCATATTTATTTACATCACTTACAAATTCCATTTTCCTTTTTTCTTTTTTTAATGTATAAACAAAGTCACCTGGATTTCAAGCAATGAAAAATAAAAGGAACTGCCATTATTGTCTTTAGATTTGTAGGTTACTGTTTTAATCCTTTTCTCAGATGTAACTTACCATCTCCCCCACTACTCACTGGGGCATGATCTCCTCCAAAACTCTGACTTATATTTGGATGTTTGAAAAGGGAACTGGAAATAGGTCATCTGTGGCCATAAAAGAGAGCTGTCTCTTTTTTTCTCCTTCCTATGTCCTCCAGTAGGAGAGGAACAAGTAATACCCTCTGATAAGCTCCTGGGGAACGTAGAGTGGGAACTCCTTGATTGTGGGGAATTTGGTGTTTGTCTCCCCAAGTGAGGCCTTATGGCATAGTGGATAGGGAGAGCTGGCCTTGGAGTTGTAAAGAACTGAGTTCAAATGTTGCTTCTGACACATTCTGCTTGTATGTGACCCTGGGCAAGTCCCTTAACCTCTTGGTGCTGTAGCCTACAATCTAACACCATATGGTAAAGAGAAGGTGGCGACTTGAGCTTTCTTACTTGGGAGTTCCCTAAACCAGGGAAATTATAGGTCTGATCACTATTCCCAAAGGCTAGAACAATTTCTAAACAGAGTGAGCACTTAAATGCTTGTTAAATTGAAGTCTAAAGGACCCACATGTACAAAAATATTTATAGCAATTCTTTCTGTGGTGGCAAAGAGTTGGAAATTGAGAGGGTGCCCATCAATTAGGGAATGGCTGAACAAGTTGTGGTATATGAATATAATGGAATACTATTGTGCTATAAGAAATGATGAGCAGGCAGACTTCAGAAAAACCTGGAAAGACTTGTATGGTCTGATGCTGAATGAAGTGAGCAGAACCAGGAGAACATCGTACACAGTGATAGCAACGTTGTGTGATGACTAATTTTGATAGACTTAGCCCTTCTTAGCAATGCAAGGATCTAGGACACCTCCAAAAGTCTCATGATTGAAAATGCTATCCACATCCAGGGAAGGAACTATGGAGTTTGAATGCAGATTGAAGAATACTATTTGCTCTTTTTTTTCTTCTGTTTTGTTTCTTCTTTCTTGTAGTTCCTCCTATTGGTTCTAATTCTTCTTTGCAACATGACTTATATGAAAATACGTTTAATAGGAATGTATATATAGAGCCTATATCAGATTGTATGCTGTCTTGGGGAAAGAGAGAGGGAAGGGGAGAAAATTTAAAACTCAAGTTTATGGAAGTCATTGTTGAAAACTAAAAATAAATTAATTAAAAAAACAAATTGAAGTCTAGAAGATTATCCCAAGTGCCATCCTCTCTCTCATGTAGCCTTTGTCCAGGAGCTTATAAAACATTACCAAGTACTGTGTGGACAATCCATTCTCTTCTTCTCTGTAGAACAAAGCTCAAATGATTCCCAAAAAAGAACCAACTGTAACAAGCGCTGTGGGAACATTGCTTCAGAACAGGGCAACAGAACCCTCAAGTGACCGCTCTACCAAAGCAGGTGAGGAAAAGCAGGTGGGGGAGGTGGGGAATGACAGCTGGATAGATGATTAATGTCAAAGGGAACCCTAAAGGTTTGATGATAGCAACTAAAGCTATAAGCATATCAAATGATACTCCTAGACACAGAGGCATATGGGCTAGATGTTATCTACCATATATTGTCCAGTTCAATATAAGCAAAGATATACTTCATCCTAACTGGTGGATAGGATGAACCATGGAGGCAAAGGTACTACTATGCTTTCATGGCTAAAGAGTAGATCCATTGATCAGGAACTAGATTTCTTGGAATATCACCATCATTTTAATTAAAGTGATCTTGCCAAAAATCTGAGACCCACAATATGAGGTATGGCCTGTTTAAAAAAAAAAGCATTTTAATTTTTTAAAACTATCTTAATGACTTAAATGAAGAAAGGTCACTAATTTTTTGCCATGGTTCTGTAAACCAAATAACTCCACTTTCTTCCTGGTTCATTATAACTCACTGTATGGTTCTTTTCACTTTTCATGATTTTCTCTTAAACAACAGTGATGGGCATTATTTAGAAAAGAACATTTCTTCCAAGTGTGTTGTTTTTAATGTACTTTTTCCAAAAGGTTGTTTTAGTTAAAATGACCTTGCTCTCCCTATCAGATAAATAAATGTCTGATTTATACAGAATTGGCTGCTTTGTGAAAGCAAAACCAATTCCCTTCTTCTCTCTCCCAAGAAAAGATTTCTGGTTTTTCTTCTGAAATGGATGGAGTTAAAAGGTTTCTTGCCTAGAGGCAATCTGCAGGCCTTTATCAGTATTAGGTGGTCATTAGCATTTTATCCTTATGGTCCATTCAGATATGGTAGGAGCTAACACCTGAAGTTGTTGCTTTCTTTCTCTAACGCTGTTAAGATTACTAAGTGATATAGGACCGAATACAGACAGAAAAATGGGAGAATAATACTGTTGTAGGAAGAGACTTGATGTTAACAGAAAAATACTAGATTTCTCTCTTAGAAGTGAACACATCCCCTCTTAAAAGTGAAAAACTTACGAGTTGGTTGATTTGCCTCCAAGAAGGAAGAATCTTCCTTCATCTCTACTGGGTTTAATAGGTACATTAGACTGTAAAGTGCTGCCAGGGAGGCAACATGATATAGTATAAAAATATTTGGAGTCAGAGGATGAGGGTTCAAATTCTGACTCAGCTACTTGACATTTGTGGGCTTCAGTTTGCTCCTTTGTAAAATGAGGGCGTTGAACTGGATGGGTCTCTAAGCTTGCCCCCTTTCCCCCAGCCTAGAAATCTTCAAGAAGTATACCAGTTAGGGGGACAAAATAGACAACCGTGTAATAGATAGGTAAACTTTTAAATGACTCACGTCAATAATTAAGCAATTTATTATGCACCTACTAGTTGGCAGACCCTGGTGATTCAAATTATGCTAACGATAGCTATCATTTACATAGTACTTTAAGGTTTGCCAAGGGCTTTAACCTAGAGAAGCTCATTTGAGCCTCACAATATCCCTGTGGAGAAGATGCTATTATTGTCCTCATTTTACAGAAGAGGAAACTAAGTAGGAGGGAAATTTAGTGACTTGTCTGGGTTCATGTAGCTAACCAATTGTCTGAGGCAAGATTTTAACTGAAGATTCTTCTCGACTCCAAGTCCAGCATCATTCACTGCATCTCCTAAGGTGCCCTTATAAATACAAAAGTGGGACAGTGCCTGGCCTCAAAGAGCTCATACAGCATACAATAGCTTGACTGCCAATGGCATAGTTTTTGCCCATTCTACTTTAATATAAGTGAGAGGAAGATTTTAACAATTCTAAATAATGTTTTCCATTTAAATACTTAAAGTATGAATAGCTTTGCCACAGTAATCTTGTTAAAATCACGTCTTTGTGAGTTGTATATGTCCCGCCTTAGGCTTACGATGCTTAATAAACTTGCCTTTGATTTTGGAGGGTGGCTTCACTCACCTACATATAAAAAATAAATTCACCAAGGTAAATATGTCAAAAAGTTGGATTTTACTCTGAGGCAGTCTGGGGATAAAGGGACTCTTAGGAAAGCAGCTAGCTAAATGCTGTAGAATGGCTGATCCTGAGAGATGCATCTTCCTGAAATAGGTTTGTGCATGTACCAAAAAGAGGTGTTTTAGTCTCAACAGTTTTTGTTCATGTCGGCATTAAAATCTATGAGTAATTTGAGGCTCCCTCATGTTTTTTTGTACTTTGAAAGCTCTGGAGAAAAAAAAATAAGACTGGACAACTTAGTGTCACTCTCATTCCAAGTGAGTCCTACTATGGACTTTTAATCAGACTGATAGGTAACTAAAGTACTGGCTCTCCCCTTATGTCCCTTCTGATTTCAGTATATTGAGTAAAAACGGCCTCCTCTGGAGCCTACACAAAACTAGCTGAATAGCTCTTTTCATTTAACATGTTTTGGGTTCTTACCATTTGCCAGACACTGTCTTAGGATATGGAAGATAGATATAAGAATGAACAAGACATAATCTCTGTCCTCAAAAAACTTACTGATATAGTAACAGACACATAAGCATGCTACAAGGCAGACTATGATGTGATAAGAGACACAAACTAGTGTTATGAGAATTCTGAAGAGGCGAGGAGATAATAATAATTGCAACAATAATAATAACTAGCATTTATGTAGTACCTACTGTGTGCCAGATGTTGTGCTAAGTACTTTATTCATTTGTTCCTCACCACAATCCTAGGTGGGAGGGGCTATGATCATTCCCATTTTACAGTTGAAGAAACTGAGAGTTAAATGACTTGTCCATGGTCACCCAGCCAGTAAGTGTCTGAGGCAGGACTGGAACTGAGGATTCCCTGATTCCAGGCCCAGCGCTCTGTTCACTCTATCATCAGCTGCTTGAGGAAGAAAAACCTCATAGAGAGAGTGGCACTTGAGTTACCTGTATAAAGAGGGGTAGAGAGAGATGATGGAAGTGTATAAACAGAGGGCTTGTAGCAAAAAAAAAAAAGTCAGTCAACAAGCATTTTTATTAAATGCTTCCTGTGTGCCAAGCACTGTCCTAAATGCTTTGTGAGGCTTTGAGAGTGATGAATGATCTATTTCAACTGGAGCGCAGAAGATACATTTGGGAAATAAGATCAGATCAGTAGTTGGGAACCAGATTGTAGAAGGCCTAGAATTTCAGACTGAGGAGCTTTTACTTTTACTTGGTAAAATGCCCCCATGTTTGTTCCTTAGGATTGACACAAACAAAAATTAGTACAGATTTTCCTTAACCTTTTTTTTTCTGTATTATGTGCAATTGTGTGTATGAGAAATACACACACAAATGACTGCTGTAAAAAAAGGTATCAAACTATTATTGTTTTTTTGTTTTTCTTCTGGCTAGGTAATGGGGTTAAGTGACTTGCCCAGGGTCATACAGCTAGTTAAGTGTTATGTGTCTGAGTTCAGATTTGAACTCAGGTCCTCCTGAATCCAGGGACAGTGCTCTATCCACTGCACCACCTAGCTGCCCCCAAACTATTATTCTTAAAGGTGTTATATTAGTCTCCTAAAGCAGAGTTATTAGCTACAAACATTTTGTTTGTTCTAGTGTACCAAGGTTGAAGAATTATTTCTAATATTTTGCTAGATGTCCATCTGCAGCTTGTCCTAGCACGCGCTGTGGCTAAGCAGTTACTGAGCTGACATCATCAAGACAGTATCAGTGGTTTTACATACTGGGAAGACACAAATGGACAGCTTTTCTTCCAATCTCATATTCAGAGGTCATGTGGAAGTTGTGAAAATTCAATTCTGAAAAATATAGACACACATAATACCCCCAAAAGTTGCTAACTGTATTACTACTGTTGTATTTTTATTGATCAGTGTTCCTGACCTTGTCTTTGGAGACAGTACACCTAATTGTCCCTCAGATATACCCTCCTCATCGACTAATCTCCCAATGGTAGGGACATACATCTTTATATTCTCCTTGGGGCCTAGCACAGAAGCTGGTACACAGTAGATGATGAATACCTGATTTAATGAATTAAAGAGCAATGATATAGACTTGCCTATAGGATTCTTTTGCTAAGGGGAAAGCCTTCATCCCAGAACAGGAAAAAACTAAGACACTAGAGCATTTTCCCCACTGTTTTACCCTTTGAAAGTTATTGTGCAAAAGGCACATTTATGCCTTTAAAGGTCACACATCTTTGGACATACAATTAGTGCTACAGAATGCTTTCTTTGATTAGTCTATCAGATGAAAAAATGTTTAGAATGCTAAAGATTAGGTATATCTCTTTCAAAACATACCTACAAATATATGAAAAACATAGAGCAATAGGTAATGGATTTGAGGGATCATAGCCAGGTTTCCTGTTCCCAAATTAATCCCACTCTGGCCTTCCCGGCCCCCAAAACTCTATTACTCTCTCGATTAAAGTAGTTTAAAGGTCTTCTGTAAAATGCTGTAGTCTTGGGAGAGGTTACATCACGTGATAAAATTATTAGATCCTTTTCAACATGTGATTTCACTGAGAAAGGGGGTAAAAATAGGGGATACAATTAAGTACTGACAAAAGAAAGCGGGAAGAGAGATCCAGAGATCCTTGGATGATTTGCCCATGTTAGGAGGGACCTAGGTACATGGTGTAGAAAGCTAATATGAGACGTAAATAAAGAAAAACATTTTGCCCACTTCATGACTTTTCCGGGGGCACGCAAAGTGGTAGGTGCAGCCCGGGGAAGGTCTACCTTATAAGTGAATTACTGTAGAAAAGACAGAATAAAACTTTCAATCTTGTAGGGAATTCACATGTCAATCAGTGTCCTTTCCGTTTCTTTCTTGTTAATGTTTTATTTACATAAGGATGATTGTTCTGTGTATGTTTTAAAAGGATCACCCTCAGAGGCAAGAACTGGATTAAAAGTCAAGAAGTCAATGATCTCCAAAAAAAATTAAGTCCTTTCATCAAGGTAAGAAATTAATTATGTCTGACCAAACTCTTGCAGATCATCTTGTGTTAAGGGTAATAATGTAATGTTGTTTATGACATTGTTTTGAAAATAACAACTCTAGATTTGATGAACCACAACAGGAAAAACCCAAGAAATTTGTATAAACCCTGGGCAGTGGTAACATCTTACACAAAAAGCTCATGTCATCTGTGTTGTGTTTCGTTTTGTTTGGTGGGAATACAGGAAAAATCTACATTATGTAATTTTAAGTTTTTAAAATCATGCTTAAATAGACTGTATTAATTTATTATTTATATGTTTTAATGATCAAAACAAGAATGTTATAATCGTTTACCATTCATCATGAGATCTCCATACTCCCCCCTCCCTGACCCCATCATAGAATATCAGAGTTGGAAGGAACCACCTTACCTCACTTATCTAATCCTGCCTGAAAAAGTATACTTTCTGCAGTAAGAGGGGCATGAGTCCACAGGGCAAATTCCATCTCCAGTAATTGCCCATTTCCTTCTGTTCCTGTGGTGCTTTCCAATGGACAAAGTTTGTTTTTTTTAAAATTACTTCCTATAATAAACTTCTGTTTTAGAGATTGCAAAGCATATATATATATCTACATTATCTCGAGGACAGAAAAATATTACTATCCCTATTTTATAGATGAAGATTTGAAGTCAGCTAGGTTAAATAAATGACTTGCCCATAGTCATACAATTTGGAAGTGAAGGAAGTGTGATACCAAGCCAGGTCTTCCTCACTCCAAGTATTATCTATTATGTCACGCTAGATACACTGTAAGACATATTGCTGATAAAATAAAAGCTTAAAAATAAAATGTCACTTTTCCTAATTTCAGACTGACCTGTACAAAAGATCACTGGCCCCTCAGCATCCTCCGTGGCTGCTTTCATTTTAAGCAAGTTATTACTTTAATTAAGGCCAAAGAACTACAGATTTCCATTTGCATTCCTATTATTCAATTTGGAATACCACTCAAAATGTGCATGTTTAGTTGTAATGATTAAAACAATGACTTCAAATTTTCTTTTTGTTCAATCTTGTAATTTTTCAAAATAAAATCAATGATGCATCAAACTAGTATCACTCCTTTTTAAAAAGTTTATACTATGTAATATTTTAAGGGGCATCAAATTGGATTTAATAACATTAGAAACCCAACTTAGAAAGTTCCAGTAACAGCCTGAATTTTTTTGATCAAGGCAAGAATTTGGAGGCAGCTAGACCCCTTTAACCATTATTAATTTACTGGAAGTTTCTGGACAAATCCAAAGTCCTGGATTATTTTCTTTGCCATTGACTTGCCATGCAGCTCCCCAACCCTTTATTCATTTGGAAAAGTGCTTGTCATTTATTCTTTATATCTGGTGATCTTGAGGATCAAAGAATTAAGTTCTTTTAAAGCATTAATTATACTTTTAAACCTAAGGTTTATGTTTCCTCCCATAATCTTGATAACATTTGCTTCCTCTTCCCTCACAGTGACCTCCTGAGTTCAGGCCCTCATTACCTCTTGCCTAGATTATAGCAATGGCCTTGTAACTGGTCTCCCTCATTCATGTCTTTTCCCATTCCAGATAAATCTACACATTGTGGTAAAAATAATTTTCATTAATTATAGATCTGGCCGGGTGATTTCCCAGCTTAATCAATGGCTTCCTATAGTATCTAAGATGAAGCAAAACTTAGTCAGCTTTTAAAAGCCTTACATAACCTGGCCAGACTTCGTAGCCTTATTGAGCATTCCCACCCACCCCCCTCCCACCTGCACTTTAGGATCCACCTTCTCTCTGATGCTTATTCATGACAGTCCATCACCCATCTCGGTATTATTGCACCGGTGGTCTCACATGCCAGGGATGCACTCCTTTCCTTACCTCCACCTCAAAATCTCTTCCTTTAAGCTCAGCCACCATCTTCTTAATGAACTTTCTCATCCTACCTCACCCCCTTGTATTTGGTTATTTTGTATATATTTTGATATGTACTTGTCTTTCCCATTTGGATTTAAGCTCTTGCAAATAGGGATTGTTTCATTCTTTGTAACTTGTATCCCCAGTGCCTACCACAGTTCCTGGTACATAGTAAACACTTCATAATTAATTCTTGTTGATGGAAAAATCAAACCATTTTGTTCCATCCATCCTAAATGATTCCACCTTCCAAGCCATAGTATTGAACAACTTCTTACTTTAAAGTAAAACAAACCTACTTTGTTTTGTGTAGATATCATAGGTACTAGCAGCATTAATTACATTTTGAAAAACCTTCCGGACTACTTTTGGGTAAAACCATTTGCCCCTTTCATAGATCATGTAAGTTAAATGGGTGATATTTTTAAGTGAACCAACAGAAGAATATTGAGCTAAGCCCAATAAAAAATAGCTATCCACTGTTCTTAAAAAGGAGGAAGTTGCTAATGAGAAAAAGAGTTGCATAAACTTAAACCACAGAAAATTTTATTTGTATGTGTGTGTATATGTATATATATAGTTTGTGTGTGTGTATATATATTATATATATATATATATATACACACACACACACACACACACTCACACACATATAGTATATATGTTCCTTTTAAAAACCTATTTTACCCCACCACCTTTAAAAAGTAGTTTTAAAAACCCCAACAAATGTGTAGCTGAAATATTCTTGGGTTTGCTGTGTTAACTGAGGGCATGCTTTCCATCTGATGATTCCTCGACCAGATCATACTTCTAACTCTGGCTTCCTGTTTTTCAAATGCATGTTTTCAGCCACAAGGGGGAGAAAGGCTCCCTATGATAACTCTGGTCATGGCAACCCACGCAACAAAAAATACAAGTCCATTTTTTTTAACTCAATGCATAGCCCAATGCATGTTTGATAGATCAATCTTATTATGCATACAGAGAATAATGTTATTACTATTACTGTAAACTGATAGTTCTAAAATGTTTTTGGTCAGCATATCATCTTCAGTACAAGCTAATAAATATACCAAGCACTGACTTTATAAAGGGACTTTCTGGGCAAAAGATTTTATGAACTCTTTGGTCCTCTTAATATGGTAAATAATAATGCTAAATCATGCCAGAATAATGGGAAATGGCACTTTTCAATAACATTCCAATTATGGATATCTGTAAATTACTAATTCATGCCAGAAACAAAATTTTAGACAATATTATAAATAGTATTTTAAAACTAATCTACACCTGTAAATCTCTTGTGGACTATGACACATTTTAAGACTACTGTGTCTTCAGAGAAGTAAATATATATGGCAAGAGAGAGAATGAATGAATATCAAATAGAAGGAATTATACTTTATAGTAAATGAGTAGTACTATATAATTTTAGAGCTGAAAAGACCTTAGAAATTATTTTATCCAACCCTGTCATTTTTCAGATGAAGAAAGTGAAACTTTGAACTCTATTTTCCTAACAGAAATAAATTTTTTTCCTAATTTAGTCGCATAGCAAGACCTTCACTCCTAAGATGGGGATCCTTTGCTACACCTCTATTTTTAAAGTATGTTTATGTACTTTTGATCTATCTAAAATTAAAGTGTAAAAATAACCATTTCAAAAACAAGAAGAACCTACTAAATTCAAATTAAACATAAACTCAATAATATATTCTCCTTCATATTAAATAACTTAATTCTTTTTTGGCAAAAGTAAAATTACTCTTTTATTTCTCTTATTTGGACATAAAGTTCAAAGAATGGGATTTTTAAAGGCCAAATTAGATTAGTAATTCATATTCAGAAAATATAAGTGTAAACGGAGGGATGAGTAAAGACCAGAACGTGACTTCAAATAAATGTATATTTTTTAAGAATTGAAAAATATTGCATTTATTATGTGTTGAAAAACAGCATTTAGAATCCTAAGTACAGTAATATTTAAAGCTCAACTTACCAAATAAAGATGTTGAACAAGGGGTTTTCTTTGAGACAAAGTAATCTCATATTCCTACTGAAATAATAATAATAATTCTTAAAATCAGCAAATGTCTTTCTTGACTGACCTGTGCATTACTTGCACACATCAGAAGTTCTAACCAAGAATCAATCCACAGGGACTTTTCCTGCTGAATTTGTCTAAATAATCATTTAGGTCTTTAAGAGAAACTAGGGGAGTCAACAAAACATCCTTGCCATTCTGTTGAAGATGGAAACTAAATAATTTTTTTTTAAACAAAGAACTTTCTATAAGAAGCTGTTTTGTTGGGTTTTTTTGTAAGACTTTCATTTTGCTATGGCAGTAGTAACTAAACTATTTCCAACCCTGAAGACAGAAAAATCCCTGAACTGCTGAAGCAGACTGAAGTCCACAGCCTAGTTAAATTTAATCCCCAAAAAGGTGTTTTATTTTTATTAAAAGAAAGAAAAAGAAACATTACATCTTCTGAACTTGAAGAAATCAGAAGCTTCCAAGGTTCATTTACTAGGTAGGGCCCTTGTTCATGTAGAGGTCCACCTAGAGGCCATATAAAAGTGGTCATTGTTTCCATATCATTTTTACTATAATGCATGGCTTGAAGTTAATCTCCCCTTGGCCCATACCTATATAGCAGCCCTTATTTTGTATGCCTGTCATGGCAGTATTTGCAGTTCCACTATAGAATACTCACTCACTATAAAATTTGGTACAAAGCATGAACACTCATGGCAGATTGGCACGATACATGCAATTGGTTGGTTTTGTGTGTCTTTTTCAGAATTTTATGACAAGAAGCCAGTTACCCTCATGCAGACAATCTCATTTTCCTAATCTTGCATTATAGCTGGCCTTTAAAACACGTGGCTTCACTGCTTGAAAAATTTTCTAGGACAGAAAAGTAACTCTTTTAAAACTGAAGTTATCTGAATGCATGGTGAAAATGAGGCAGGATGGCAGAGCTGGGGCTGGCGGGGAAAGTGTGAGGAATGTGAGGAAGATGTAACTGATTAAGAGTCACACTGCCCATGGCTAGCGGCGGTTCTTGTTGCTG